TATTTAACTCCACTAATGATGCCCTTGACTAGCCCCACTATTTGAAGCAGTTCCGCCAACACGATATGTTCTTCCTGGTGTTCTATTTCTCCAAAAATAAACTCATCAGCGTTGTCCATTTGCCGTCGAGCTCTTGCAAGCGCGCCTGCAACTCCCTGTTCAGTTTCCGCTGTTCTGGCTGCTTCGGGAGATTTCCCTTTTCGCTGCGGCTCTGTCCCTTTCGCCTCTATTAACCGCAGTATGTTACCTTCTAATTCTCTTAAGTGCACAGTGACACCATCCAGTGCCCTCCCACAAGTTGCCATCACCTTCGAAGTTGCTACAGCACTGTCGCCTTCCTGTTCAAATGTGTCAATCCATGACTGCGCCGAAAAGTCTGGCAGTACTGCAGCTTTTGGTGGAGCTGGCGAATCGGGCGCGCTAGGCGTATTCGGCAGAGGAGCGCCTGAAGGGCAAAGAAAACGAAACGATGTGCAATGATGACAGAGTGAATACAGGGGTGCATGCGGGTAGGAAACAATTAAATTTACGTTACAGCCTAAACATTGTCTTGCTTCTTCAAGTTGCTAAACCTCATTAATGTATCCGAATGTCTTACATGCATCCTGTTGAGGCTCGACCTCTTGAGACGGTGCTGCCACATCTTTGGTATGGCGATTCCGGCTTCGACTCCTACTAAAACTTTTTGTCAGGAAACTCCCGAGACGGCCGAGACCTGAATAACTGCTAACCTTCTTTATCTTGACAGATTCTGTGCTGTTCTCCTTTGACGGGGTTGCTTGGGGTGGCTCGTCCCCTGTTCACGCGAAAAACGACAAACACCCATTTGCACGGACTTATAGCCTTGTTAATGATTCGAAGGGCTCCAGAGATACTGAGCACGGTAAGCAGCCCACACTGTGCCTACAGCTACCTTCCTTTCCTGTTCAGTGTTCGGCGTTTCTCGTCCTTATCCTAAAGCCAACAACGGCCGCTGATGTACCATGTGTTCGCCGACGCGGGGAAGCAACTGCTGGCAGTGTCATGAAGTGCTGCTGAGTGCATGGGTGTCTCATTACTCCCACCAACCGAGTTTTATCTAAAGCTCATGCACTGTCTTACTTGGTGCATGCCTCAAGGCATGCCCACTTGAATCACTCAAGTCTCCAGGATCACTGTGAACGCTTCTCGTGCGTTCGTTGTGCATTCGTTCGTCAATGTGTTCACTTCTTGCATGTGCTACGCTGAGGGAATGAGCTGTCTGAGTTCTGCGCACGCCAGCCCCGTCTTCCGCGTTCCCTCCCAGTCCATCTTTCGGCTCAGCTCGTCTTGGGACGGAGTTAAACATTTCAGCGAGAGACGATGTGTCTTTTGTGGAGGCATTAGGAACTTCAGCAAGCTCCTCATGAAGTTTACAGGTGCCATCATCGTCGAGTTGGCGACTGCACTGTGCTTGGGTAACCTCGCGAGATCTGGACCTTTTAATGCTGCTCTGTCGAATCCAGCCTATGAATGTCTTGCTGCTTCCCTTGTCGTCCCCCAAAACTCCTCTAGAGCTGCTCGCTTTCACTGTACTTCGGTGGCTCATGATGTAGTCCTGTGGTCAAGGCCGTGATGACCGCGGCAGACAACCGTAGATCTGACTGCATTTAATGGCATCCATCCCGCAGAAACAAACGTCTGATTTAAAACGTGTGTTTTTACGTAAAAAAAGCACGCAAGGACGGAGGTCTCGGGCGAATCACCTAAGCGTGGGAGACATGTAGTCTTCCCCTGCACGAAGGTGGCTCTATGAAAAGACTGACATCTCTGGAGGCAAAACAATACTTACAAAGCTCAAATACACAGCTAGAAAACCAGTACCGTTTCACCAGTACAGCTAGTTAACCTTGTTTATGTACTGTGAAATCATGAAGTGAACGGCATGATGTTGAGTGGTCGGTGCAGGACAGTGTTGGGTGTGATAGCTTGCCATCGATATGAATGGCTGTGTTCAAATAAAGCCCTCCTCCTAAAGAACATTTTATAATTTTTAGTCACATAATAAAGCATTAGAACCTCTACAAGCTCTGTAAAGATGTTGCTGCTGGTTTGACCATACTACGAACTTCATATGGGCCCAACTCGCGCAAGCAACGCGTGCCTGCCTCTCGATCTTCACCGATTTGGTGTGTCTCTTTTCTTGTTCATGCTATCGTATGTGGCGATTTTATTTGTGATAGTTCTCGAGTCAAATACAGCTCGCATATTCGATTTTATCCCTGTCACAAAAAGTGCCAGGGAATCCGCCGCAACTCGCCTTAGCATTATCTTCCCTTCCCTTCTTCCCCTTTCCCTTTCAATATCCGTTTCCCTTAAAACAGATAACTTAATGAATATGCATCAGCTTCCCGGCGCACTAGCGTCCCGGCCTGAAAGCACTAGCGTCCCGGTCTGAAACTATCTACGGCGCCGTCCTGCCAGAGTTCGGCAACGACCGTACTATTACGTAGTTCTTGGTTTCCTGCGGCCAGCGCCAACCTAGGCGAGCAGTGTTTCAGTAAATTACTCTAGGCACCATAACTATTTCTGAACATTTTCTTGTATCTGGTCGAAGCATTATCCCCCTAAATGAATAATTTGCACTTGCGAGATGGTATTCGCAGGGTGTAAGCGTTATCGGGCTGTTTGTGGTTTCCCACAACTCGATGAGCTTCTTGGCACACAGAAGAACGTGCCCTGGAAATATATCGACTCTTTTAACAACGACGTGGTTGGTTTCCCACAACTCGATGAGCTTCTTGGCACACAGAAGAACGTGCCCTGGAAATATATCGACTCTTTTAACAACGACGTGGTCAATGTACACTGGTCTTCAAAAACGGGGAAAATGGCATAACGGGTCATGAAATATCATTACACACAGCAGAAATGTAAGCTGCGTAGAAAGACGCGTTCGCCTCCCCACGTATTTGAGGGGGAAAAGCAAAAGCTTAGCATTTTCGAGTAAACTAAACTAAATGCAGAAGAAGCGTTCTCTTGGCGCCTTAGCCTAGCGCTGCATCCCGACCTCTTGAGCCCCTTTTGTTTCCTTAGACGGGTGCGTGGGAAGATTCGCAAGACGAACGACTGCAGCTATTCATATGTATCTTAGTGCCCAGAATTCGATTGACTACTAAGTAACTAGCTAGGCACAAAGTAGCGCATCGGGGATTATAAGGAGCATGCTGCTAAATCGCCGGCTAAATTGTATCATGTCCACAGACTACGTAAGCAACCATGCAGACGGCATCTGAGTATTCTGCGTGAATTGAATTGCCTGCACTTTCCTCAGAAGCTTCGTGATGTTCAGAGTGGGAGGCGTACGCTCAGCTCCCTATGTCTGGCTGAGCTTTACTGACGCGCTTCCCTGACACTAGTTTACGGTGCTGTGCAAGCTGAACTACCCAACATTGTATTAGTTAGCCCAATTCAGAATTATTTTAGCATCGCTTCGGCGACCAGCGGCCAGTCCTGTGGTGAGCAGTATAATGAGCTTGTTGATTCCTGTAGCATCCGCTGAACAGCAGCATCTGCAGCTGATTGGCAAGGTTTTGTTGCATGGCCAGCTTCTGCAGTGGTTATCCAAATTCCATGGTATGCGTTGCGAAAAAGCTGCAGAAATAGTGACATTACTAGCTGGAGCAACTTAATTTCCTAGTTTTCGCCTTCTGTTTGGTCTGTGAACGCCTCGCTACCAAGTCACTGCCGCTATGTTTATTTCCAGTTGGGACTCCTTATAGTGTAGCGAGGGCCAATTTTGCATATTTCGAGAACATTTCTGTTGAAGTGCTTTGGCGTCTGCTACGCTTCGCAGGAAGACTAGAAGCCCGGTACGGATATGAATTATGTCTAGATATTGTACATTATATATATTGGCTGTGGAATGAAGTGCTGAACATGCAGGCATGAATTTGATTGACGAACTGTCGTTAATAAAGCGAACAATGCCCGGTGCACGGGGTTAAGGGCAGCTTGCGCATATTTGCTCATTTCGTCATTTGTGATGCTTTCCCACTTCTATGTTCCCTTCTGACCTTTGGAAGCTGTTTACGGGTTCACACCGGCTCTAGACCCTACTACGAAGAAAGTGCTTGACCAAGGTACCGTGTTGCCATCGCTCCAACTTAATGCGCTCAAGCTGTGCCCCCGCAGCTCTACCTACTGAATGTTCTACAAACACAAAACAAAAAAGGATCTGTGATGGATGCTCTTCTTTGGCGAAAATATGCGACGTAACGCATGAAGGCGGAAACACGGTTTGACCCCCCAAGTGCCCCTGCATATAATGGTGGGAGGCTACGAACAAAAAGTGGGGCTTATTGCTGAAGCAGCTCTATAACGGTATGGATATGCGTTCTACAGCATGTTTCTTTAATATGATGTGTTAAGGAAACGGAACGCAGCGCAGTTCGTGCACCGGAGCTCTTCGAGGCCCCAGCCCCCGTAATTCAGGTTCGCAGATGCTGCTTGTTCGCTCATGCTGTTCGGGAAGTGGCATTTATGCATATTCACCTTTTAAAGTCTTGTTAAGCTGTTTCATTTGGCATTTCTGTAAGAGAATTTGAGAACACAAAGGGGCTGGCCCTATGCGTTTTGCTGGGTTTAGAGGCGAAGGAGAGTGCAAGAAAAAGGGATGCCCTTCTCCGTCTTTTTTGTAGCCCACATTTCTCCCCGCTTTCTGTTTTATCAACCATATATGCTTTGTTTAAAGTCGAGAAAGCTATAAAAGCTTGCCAATCGGTATCCAGTGCCTCTATGGCAGCTCTCCCGGTTCCAGTGCACGTACGCTTCGATTTGCGATCAGAGATCGAGTCGCCCTTGGCCACTGCTTATGGCAGTTGAACTTTCGCTTTTTGTGGCGTCACTGGCATCTGATCTGTTCTTAAGGTCAAAGTTTATCCTTCACTTCAGTTGCTTCGCTCATGGCATGCGGCGAGACAGTAGGGGCACAGGGTTTCCTATTTCCTCCAGCATGAATTCTTAATCCCAGGCCCTGAGAGATGGAGGCCCGGATCTGCGATGGACAGGCTGTCTCTTTTGTGCGTCCTCGCCGTACATCTGTTGGATTGCAAGGAGCTAGGCCGTCGAGCTGCTGTGCTTCAGCTGACTTCGAACCGTATGAGAGATCCAGTCATGCACTAAGACGCAAGTGCAGGCACGTGGTGCTCAAGTGCACTCTACTCGCATTTCTCCTTATCTCATGCCTCTCTGCGGGATATATTTTGGGCATCCTATACCCTCCTGCGGCGCTTGAGGTGAGTCTGTATCCTCCGGACCCTCGCGACGCCGTCGGGCTGCTGCTTTTCGTGCATTCGTCTTCATACAACACTCTTGGTGTATGTGTGCGATTACTTCGGCTCCTAGGTAGTGCGTTGGCTACTGTGGGTTTTCTTGTATTCATGCAGCGGCGGAGCCCAGCATCCGCTGGATGGTCTCAGGTGCGGCGCCGGCTGTCGGCTTCAGGTGGTGACGAAGGCAGCAACGGCGAGGACAATGCAAGCGTCTCGAAAAAGGCTTCTGTAGAGAAGGCGAATGATAATGAAGGGGAAGCGGGACAAAGAAATGGCGGGGATAGTGGAGCAGAAGTGACAAACGACGCAGCAGCAGCCGCTGCAGGTACGTCCTCTACGGAGTTGCCACCACCCGAAAGCCCCACGGCTCCACTGCATGACTTCGATGTGGAGAAGGATGCAGAGAAGGTGGCGATTACAGGCACACCGTTGCCTTCCTCAGCAGTGCATACTGCTGGGGATGGGATGGATAACACCTCTGGGGGAAAGGGAAGTTCGGCAAGGAAACAACGTCGCCGGAAGAGGAGGAGCGATTTGGTCAATGGTAAGGCCATTAAGAGGATGCAGCTATATAGTTGAGCCAAGGAGTCTATGGTTATGTAGCCCACAATAGATGAAGCAACATGCCATACATGGAAAATAGCGTATCATACATGGAAATTAGCATATCTGCGGGTGCCGACTTAGTGTGTGTTGACAAAAGAGGTAGCTCAATTTTACCGTCCTCCTGTTGTAGGACCTGACCCCCATACATACCGAAAGGAGCTCTGTTCGATGCTGCGGACGGACGCGACGCTGCAAGTGTGGTTTGCTCTTGTTGTTCTGTACGTCGCGGAGTGGCCGACTTACGCGCGCCATGGCAACGGGGGAGATGCGTATTTGAAGTATTTGAGGGACTTAGCACAGAAATTTGAAGTGCCCAGGCACGCTGCTGTGCAGGTCCAAATGCTTTTCGCCGAAGAGCTCTCCTGTGGCACACCGTCATTTTTTTTGGGGGGGGTAAGTGGGATACCTAGATGCGGCGAATCGGGGGCAGTGAGACGTGGTGTGCCCAGCAAATGTGCTAGTGCTTCCTCTGCGTTGATAGAGTGCAACACACCAATCCACTCGCTTTAAAGGCGCACAGGCAGCCTCTAAAAGCGTTTGTGCTTCCTTTTGCACTATGTAGAAGTGGTCTGGCTGGTCCATACGTATTTGCAATGTTACGCAGCTTACGTACCTCAGTTCGCTAGGTCTAGGGGCGCAGCTCTGGTCTCAGCAGATGCACACGCATATAGCTATCTGAGCACACTTTGTGGAAGTGACGGATGGCAGAACTCGATTCGCACATTCATTCTTCAGGAAGGCTAACTTCTCACACGTAGGAAGCTGACAACGTGCACAAGGCTGGTCATTTGCTGCTTGTGTTACTTGGTTTGCAGTTGGAAACGGTTGCAAAGGACATTCATCGGCATCACGACTTAATTAATGTGTTGCGGAAGTACAGGGAAGAGCAGGACTTTGCGGATCTCATTGACTACACACAAGTCACCAAGCTGCCCGCCGATGTTTCTATCTCTGGCTTTCCGATGATTCTCAGAACAGCCTTTGAAGGATTTGCCTTTTGCTTCAGCAGAAACTTGTATATCCGACCTGAGAAGAAAGGAGATGACAAGTCATCTAGAAGAACAGAAGGAACAGGTAGAAGGACAGACACTGGAGAGATTGGACGCAATGTTGTGGTGTTGTAGCTGCGTTGTTTTCTTTTGTCAAGCATTTTCTCCCTTTTGTTGAGCATCTTTGGATTCCGTGTTGACAGAGTTGGGTAGATTGATAGTATGCGCTTAGTTTTAGCTTGTCATGAGTCATTTGTCACTACCGCTCCATTTGTCTTCGTTCGCGGGACGAGTATTGTGCTTTTAGTGTACTGTGTTTCAGGTGTAGAGGCCTAGGGATCTTGCGCGTTGTCGATGGCTGTGTGTTTTGGTGTTTAGGGGCTTTAACAATGAGCGACTTTTACAATACTTACGTCCGACAGTATCAACACAACCAATTCCAGTATTGGTTACTTCTAATGATGGCAAGTGTCATGAAGAGAGTCGTTTCTGGAAGGTACGAGGAAACTACTACCTGCATAGTAAACAACAGAATGCGACCCCGTAGCTATAGCTTGTGGAGTAGAAGTACTCTTCCGGAGAATCGGTGTGGCTGTTCGTATTCTCTTGGCAGTGAACTTCACGTTGTTAGAAAGCTTCTTTGGGTGGTGCATAGAATCTGAAGATATTGCGGGTCCGTTTCATGGCAACACTTTAACCATAAGTTTGTGGTTTTAGCTGTCTATCGTTATAGACTACATTGGGGAGACTGGCTTTCCAATGGCGTTATTCCGCCTCATTTTTTCGCAGGCCGCATGCGGGCTTTATGGTGTTGAAGTTTAAGTCGGCTCAGGCGCTGGGAATGAACCGTGGGCGTGGAATGCATGAGCTGGACAAAGCTGCGATCGACTCTCTGCAGCGGCAGGTGGCTGCAAGTGTAGAGGGGAAGCTGGATCGTTCACTACAGCGTTTCCAGAATTTTCAAGTTGTGCAGGGGCCTTTGTTTTCCACTACGTCGGCCATGAGACCGACTTTATCCGTCACGGGCTATTTAGAGCGCACACAGGCGGGGTCGTTCATAGATCACGGCATCTTCGGGATGGACATGGACTTGGACACCTTGGAAGAACTCAAGGAACGGATGGAACCTGGAAACCTCCTTGTAGATGTTTCCCTTGTCGACCCCTGGAGTTCGAGGCCGGCGTCTGAATGGCCAGATCCGTTGCAGCGGGATGTACTAGCGCTAACGGCGTACACGGCAACCCAGTTGCTGTGTGCAGAGCTGCAGTGGGATCCATCTCTCGGCAATCTGGGCCATGTCGAAGTCGTATATTCAGGCTTTGCCGATGTCTATGATTCCGCTGCCTCTACACAACAGTCGAAGGCAAAGTTTGACCCAGATGTGCAAGTACTGCTCTTACGTGACAACCAGAAATTTGTCGAGGACGGGCTTGAGGAAGGAAGCAAGGAGAAAATCACGAATCTCGTGGCGCAGGAACCACTTCAATGGGGACAAGAAAGAGTAATCGACGCGGAGAGGATTCAGTGGAAAGGAGTTGCCAGATTATTGAGGGGCGGCCAGCTGTACAGGAAAAATGCGTTCGGAACAGGCTTGCCCCCGACGCTCCGCAGAAACGCTGAAGATCTCTTGAAACCAAATGTTGTTCTCATTCACATTGTCATTCAAGGGCTAGGGGACTTGACACCAGATACTCTGGGGTTCGACATGACGGCAAGTGAAATGGCTAGTCGGCTTGTGAGGAGGTGTAGAGGTATCTATGACCCCGTACTGCTGAAGTCTGTCACGCCCTTTGTAAAAGTAAGCTAGTCACATCGGTGTTGCTTAGCGCTGTAGCGACAAGGATGTCTAGTGAGGTATGAGCACTTGCGACTGGATCTTTGAAACGAGAATACAGGCCATGCTTCCATCGGAAGTTCCCGAAGGAGACTAACTCCATTTGCGCAGTATGCCGATACGTATTTTCAGGAAATGCAGGTGAAAAACGAACGCATGTGCGTGGGAGATATGCCGAAGTGGGTGGTGCTGGTGTCAACGCTGGGCGTCGCACTCTTCTTCATTATACTGATCACGCTGTTGCTGTACCACGACAAAATAAAACTCCCATGGTGGATAATGTGCATCTGTAGCAGCCGTGCTCCTTGGGAGGAGTCCTCGCCCGTAGCATCCAGCATGTCGAACGCGTTCCCACCTGAAGTCTTCGAAAAGCAGAGCAATTCTACGCGCGAGATTATTGCTTTCGCCCCCCCCCTGAAGGAGATGACCTCCAGCCTGTCGTGAACACGACGTTACTATGGCACTGTAGGCAGCAATAGCAGTGTGTAGCAGTGTGTGTGCAGTGTAGCAGTTGTGTTAAACAAAAACCCGTTTCACGGCTTAATTTTTTAAAGAGCAATTCTCGCGCATTTGTCTGTGGGGAGTTACATCCTCCAGTCACGTAGCTTCATTTTTTTAATGGATGGTTCAACGCACTTATGCCGCCTGGCTTTTTCATTCGCGAAGTTGCAGGGGCATCTCTTCCCTGCTGCGTCTGGGACTTGTTTTTTTACATTGGACGCTGCACTTTATATTAAGCATCCGCGGCGGAATAAGAGCAGCCCGACTGTGCAGAGTAGTCATGCGGAAGTGCAGCATCAGGGTAAAGCAATGTTGACGGGAAATGCAGTACGCTTTGGCAGGACTTTAGATGTAGCTGGCTGAACAGATATGGGGAGGTAGTCACCTGGGATGTGAGGTGAGCATCACTACACCTACATGGCAACGGCAATACCAACTATCTGCAGCAACACTAATATGTGAACACAACGAGCAGCCCGAACTAGCAGCCACCGACCCACGACTATCAGCCACATTAACAAAGGACCGTTGGCGCCGAAGCGCCCCAAAAATTCGTTCGAGATGCATTTCAATGCGGCAGACACACGGCAATCTTTAGTAAAAGGCGAAAGATTGGTACGTAATGCGCCTGCCGCTGCATCGTGAAAGCTCAGACTACAGAATGGCCACCACCCCATTTCGATGTATACGGCGAATAAGGACATAACAACGACGCTCAAGAAGACTAAGCCGTTCTATTGCACATTGTTTTCAGAATTTTCGCTCTTTATGCACATATCTCTACAAAAATATGCTGGAAATGTGAATTATATTAACGGGCTGATTGTACTGTGATGAAGATCGGTTGAACAGCATCTCTCCCGTTAGGGACTGACTGGCCGTGGGGAAGACGGCAACCCATTAAAGAAAAAAAGTGGCACTAAGCTCTTGTTTATTAGGCAAATTACACTTCTTTTTAAATTATAAAGGAACATGAATGCATATTTCTCCTTGGAAACGGGCTGAGGGCAGGAAGTGCTCGCGGTGCGTACAGTGTCGTGTTCTAGAGAGCTCGCTGGTAGCAATAGCCCACCAAACTGGCCCGCGACTAAATTTTTTTGTGTTGCTTGGATCATTTTGAGATAGTTACAAATATCAGAAGAGGATGATTTGCGGCTAGGAGGGCCGCCGCTTATTTGCTTCTGCACATGCATTTTCGCCCTGCCACAGGCTTTTTGACGAGCTAAGATGCTCACGGAAACTGCACTGTGGCTTCCATAGGATATAATTAAGTCTATAAATAATCAAAACGGTTTCGAACAAGTCACGTTTACCTAGTGTAGACGGACGAAATGAAGTAAGACTGTGGAGACTCCTAATGCGCCTGTTCAGGCGAGTACACCATATGAAAGGAAAGGCTGGCAAGCTTTCACGAGGGATTCATTAATTGTCAAGCTACACGAGGGATTCATTAGTTGTCAAAATACAATAAAAACGATGCGGGATATTGCCCCACAGCCTTACACGAATAACGACTCTATGCGCAAGCGCGGGCTCCACAGCCTCAATACATGCAATACTGTTTGCTGCTATTGAAAACTCTGTGAGACAGTGCAATGCCCCTCTGTCGTGATGTATTTGCGTGCGCATCAACAAATTGCAGCGCCACACATCTACTTCCATCTCAGCTGCGTTTCAGGCTGACTCTGTGTTATTGCAGGTCTTCTGCCACGTTATCTCCCTTAAGCTGTTCAGTAAAAATGAGCGTTTTGCAAATAATGCGTCCATATTGCCAGTTCGATGTGAAGACAAAGAAAAAGCAGCAATGAAGGCAGCACCGAAGGCGGCGATGTCTCTGTACAGCAAGCAGGAGCTGCATCAAAAAAAAGCCGAGTGTGATGAATGGAGTCCATGAGCAGGCACACTCGTACTGTGTATCAAATCATTTAGTGTATTTCTAGGCCTTTGAGCATTGTGCGTATCAAATACTTCACCATCCGCTTCGGCTTCCTGTGCAGCTTATGATAATGTCCGCTGCACCGCCGTTTCACTCATTTCCATTGACTGTCCCGGTCTGTTTGCTTTTTGACCTGAGGTAGTTTCATGCTCGCATGGAGTGCAGTTTTGCTTGGTAATTCCAACAGTCGTCGAGCCTCTGAGTTGAGCCGCAACCGCAGATCATTATGGTGAAGTGGCACAGCCCGGAGCCAACAAAACGACCTCTAAGGTTTTTCGACCCGCAATGAGGGGCATACGCAGCTCATGGCGACGAAGGAGGAGAGTCCAGAGCCATTAACACAACTTCTTTGACGTTTTTTGACAGAGTCTTTACCGACAGAATGCGGTGCAGCTGGCTCTCAATCAGTCGCTGACGGTGCGCGTTGTATCTCCTCCACTGTAGGAACAATTTTGCTCCCCGGGAAGCTGCAACTGGATTTATGCGGTCGACCTGTACACAGAATTAACAAAGAGCGCAGGGCTCATCATCACACAGACACTCGGAGGGTGTTGACTGGCAACAGACTAGAGCCCCATTGTGCGGTGAGTTGCGTTCTACTTGCTTGCTCAAATGACGCCAACCGCGAGAAGAAACAAACCTCGCTTCACGTGCGTGCCGTGTGGGTTCACATTTGCTGATGTTTCCTGGCGCACGGTTAGACTCTCTGTACGCTAAAGCTATGACCGCTCACTTCAAGGATAACGTTGGCTAGCAGTTCATATCCCTTCCCATCGCTCCTGTGGAAGTGTAGCGGATTGAGAGAGGCGAAGGTGAAGACCAAAGATCGCAGTCTATTGGGATTCTTTAGAGAAAAGGCCGGATGGTTCAGGAGCTCTGCGACGCGTTCCACCTGGTCCGGAAGGTCTGAGCGCGCCTGAGCCCTGAACCATTTGTCTATGACGAGAGGATCCCCTGGGCAGCATTGCACAGTCGCATAAGTAATAGAACGAGCTAAATCCACACAAATGTACTCTAGCTTGCAGTGGCGCATCAGGTTTATGCGCGCACCGCTGATGAAACTGATTATAGGATTTTTCCGTTGCATGTGTTTTCGCCTTATTGTTCTTTTTGAAGCTCTAACTAAACATACCTGCCGCGTCTTCATAGAACCGAGCGAATGCCATCTCCCTTTCGGCTGTTGGAATGTTTCCGAGCGTGATTAGCCCCGCGTATCTATCAGTCATGCATTTTGCATCTGTGAAGTGTTTGACGGCTCTGTCGACAGCTTCTTTGTCACGGCTCTCCGACAAGAAAAACAACAGAGTATTCCTCAGCTTCCTTCTTCCGGTACTTTCCTCTTCCATGTCGTCCTCCTCACCTGCAGGAAGCGTCAGGTGTTCGTATTCCTTAGCCATTTCGGTCTTCAAAGCGGCAGCCACGTCTGCCTTGACAGATCGAATCGCCAGGTGCAAGGCTTCTGGGTCGATGGTCTTCATATGAGTCGAAAGCGTGCTCCAGTCGGGAAGCTGCAGCAGTAGTGCCTGAAAATGAGGCCGAGGCAGACCACAGAAGAGAACAACAGAACGCGAAAATTTAAAAACTTGACAAAAGCTTTGCAACGTCGGAGCACACTGCTCCCGCCACACCGTAGCTTGGCTTCAGTATGCAAGCAGTTGTGAGTTGCGTGCAAAGTGCCCGTCAACTTCGTTCCTCGTCTTCTTTTTGTAGTCTAGAGATACTCGCGTTATTTGTCTACCCACAATCACGTGAAACAAATCAGAATATGCAGGCATACGCAGATGCATCTTCTACCGTGTTCGTCGTAATTCGAAATCACATTGGAAACGTAAGCGCAGAATTAAAATCAGCGGCAGCCTTAGGGTAAACCAAAATATTCGGGAGTTGAATACCTTAAGCGCATTATCGAGGTTGTTGTCTGTAAGCGTGGTCCTTAGCGCGTCGATATAAGCCCCCGAAATTTGTTCGAAAATGCGAGCATTTTTGTTTGCGACAACTTGCGAAGCCCGCGAAAGAATGATGGGAGTGGCGAGTGCCCTCGAGGCAAACCATTTCGTCACTGGGTCACTGTCATATGCCATCAAAAACGCCATATCTTCTGCTGTCTGGTGAGGGTTTACCAATATGACGGGTGCCGAAAACCCTCGCAAAATCGATGGCACGCAGTCCTCGCTGATATTATTGAGGCGGAAGGTCTGCTCCTCTTCTGTCATTTCCAGAACCTGCAGCAATGCTCAGCCGGCATGAGCAGCAGATATACCCAAATAGCTCACGTGAAGGCACATAATTAAGTAAGGGCTCCAAATATATGCACACAGCGACGCGGAGATAAAGAGAGATACATTTATACGGGCCCAAAAGTAACAGAGACAAAAGCGAGAGCTCTATTACCGCAGGAAAGTAAACGACAGGCAATTTGCATCATTGTTTCCTTGGCGTTTTAGCTGCTAATCTGGACATAGCTGTGCATGTCATGCATGCCATCCACATATATCTGATAAGCTATTGGAAATTCGAGCATCCACAGCAACCTTGGGTGCCTATGCCCAGTTTTCGCTTTGATCCCCCTCCCCTCTCCACAGCCAGCCTAGCGCCAGCAAAAGGTAGCATTTCGAACTATATGCCTGTCTCTGCTTTTTCTGTGTCTGTTTGACTAGTGAAATTAACTTGTCTGACCACTGCGGGCTGTACGAGTTCTTCATGCGAAGTTTTGCCGATTAACCCCATTTTTATGGGAATGACTTGAGGTAGCTTCTTGTTCTGTCCGGGAGTTGGTGGAGTGTACTGCTTGAAACGAATTTCGAACACTTTTGTCTCCTTATTCAACGCGGCCTTTAGAACTTCCAGACGGGGAGTTCCAGCCTTGAGTGAAATGATAACAAAAGGAACAACTTAGTACAGTGGCCAAACGGAAAAATGAATGGGGAAATAAAGCAAAACGCACGATGAGCACAGCTACTTAGCTATTTGGCTTGTCATTAGCAGAACAACTCCCGATATAAAAAGAGTGGCAGGCGACCACTATATCTGTGAGAGAAGCGGACATCCAGAGAGCTACAGGAACAAAGATATTACATGCCACTAACATAGCTTTACCACATGAGTCACCACGCATGCCGCCTCCACTGCTGCATATGCTTACAGGACAACTTATGTTGCGTTCATCACCAGCCTTTCAAGCCATGTTTAGCACATAGTTTTAGCTAGCTATTTGAAAACATTGACGCTACCACACGGCTTCCGATGCTTATGGCTGCCACTTAAATTGAAGGGTTCTCACTTGGGTATACCAGCGTTCCATTTGGTCCAAATTTACGCCATTTGCGTCTGCCATCGCTGCACGAAAGTCATCACAAGTAGCGGCCTGGTTGTCATGGCGTTGGAAATATAAATCCATTCCTTTTCGAAACCCTGGGGCGCCGAGCAAGGTGTGGTATCTGAAAAGTAGGGAAAGAGAAACAGCAATTGAATATTTCTCAGCACAGCGCAAGGCAGCAGGGCAAAATCCAGTTAAATGTCGTTGGTATTAAAAAATGACGGTGAGTGAACTTTCCTAAGAAATACTTCTGGTACAGTCGCTGCACGCTTATCGGGGCGTTATATGTAGCGGCAAAGGGAACAGAGGCTTCGTCGCGTACACATTACGCAGAATAGCCAGCAGGAAATAGATGAATTGAGGAACTGCGTGAATAGAACTTACATGCGCACAACCTCTGCGCCTTTATCATAGACAGTAGCTGTGTAAAAGTTGTCCATGGCTAAGTAGCTTTCAGGCCGAATTGGGTGGGCCATAGGTCCGTCATCTTCGGGAAACTGCCTTGAAATCAAGTCTGCAACTTCTTGAATACGTTGCACTCCGGCAGACATGACAGAGCCCATGAATAGCTGTTCGCGGAACACAGTTAAGCCTTCCTTCAAGGTCAACTGAAACCAGTCACTGAGAAGAGAATAAAGCAAAAAAGCGCTAAAACGTTAGAAAGCTGCTTTCGTACTTCGCTTCTTAAATGCAAATGTGCGTTCCTATGCTGAGAAGCGAACTCTGCAGCGCACAGGTATGCTGAAGTGCCTAACAAGAATCACTACAGCAGTAATGCCAGAAGCAGCACATGCCGCAGGAGTCATGTACAGAAAACTGCCACTTCAAAGATCGCGGATGAATAAATAGGCAGCAGTGGGAAAATACCGGACAGTGACGCGGTTGCCTGTCCAGTTGTGGAAGTACTCATGGCCAATAATAGCAAGAACACGCTCGAAGTCCTCATCTGAGTGCACAAAAAAATTTTACTGCTCCTAGGTCCTAAACACTAGGCAGTGTACCCTAAAGCGAAGTTTAGACCTAGGAACATGACGCATTATGAAACACTTCAGGAGCCAAGCAGGCGGATGGCCCCTGTCTTAGAAGGCAAACTAAGAAGCCTGTCGGAAATTTTGAGACGGTCAGCATCAGAAACTGCTAAACTGCTACACTGCTGTAGCAACGGTAAAAGCTGTAGCTAAATCGCGAGCAACAACAACAGTGTTTGTAGAGTGCTCGTGGGGGCATGTTAGATGACCTGTGCTGGTATCCATGCTTGCGAGGAGGAGCGTGCAGTTAAATATGTTGAGACCCTTGTTCTCCATTGCTCCAGCATTGAAATCCGATACACAAGCAACGTTAAATGCGTCCAAATCGTACTCCCTTCCGAAGTTGTCCTCTTCCCATTTCATGCTGACCTTCACGCTGTGCATCGCCCAGTTCAATTTATGCAGCTGCGCCGGCTCGCTGTACACTGCAAGCGCCACTTCTTTGCCGCTCTGACAAATTCAGAATTACATGTGCACAAATGCGGATACAAGTTCGAATAAAAACACAAACGAAGCAAAACGATGAGCAAAATATATGAAAAAATAGTCATATTGGGAAACTGGGCTCAGACGGCTGAGGCTGACTTTGGTGGTGAAAGTATCTCTTATAGCCTCGAAATTGCCAGCAAGAATGGCAAAAAGATAGCTTGGTTTTGGGTGGGGATCGTCGAAAACGGCAAAGTGGCGGTGCGGCGCATCTTCTACAGGACCCTCGTCTGCCTTGTTGCCGTTGCTGAGGAGGATAGGGTACTTTGCTTTGTTTGCCTCCAGCCGAACCTGCACATAAAACCCGAAATAAGGGGCAGAAGGAGTATACAGCATTGCTTAAATGAAGTAGTAATCACTGCGCTATGTAATAATGCTGGTAAGGCAAAGGGTGTCACATTTTTCGCACTCTTGGCAACATCACATGTGAGTGACGTTCTGGACAGCAGCTTCTCTTCTGTTTTTTGCCTGTCTGACTGTCAATGAGGGCTCATATTAACAAGTGTGTGAAGCAGGCAGAAGAGGGCCTAAAATATGATCAGAAGCATTTTCGTACTTTGTATGTTGCCATTACGTCGGGTCGGTCTAAGAAGTAAGTGATCCTCCTGAATCCTTCAGCTTCACATTGCGTTACGAGGGCCGTGCCGGAAACATACAAACCTTTGAGTTTGAGATTTGCTGCAGGATGTATAGATACCTCAGTTTGCAGTGTAAAGGTTTCCCCAGCATCCTGCGGAAGAGCCTCTTTAGTTACGACCAGAACGTCTTCAGAGCCCAAGCGGTAGCCTTCCTTTCCAGCGTGTTTTTCAGCTCCCTCGTCGGCAGCCTTGGGGTTCTCTATTAACTCTTCAACCACTTTTCCATTTACCTTTAAAGAAAGAAGCTCCATATCTTCCCCATTTAGCACCAAGTCTGTGGGGACAGTTCCCTCCGTGCGTTTCAAAATTATAGTTGCAAAAACCTGCAACACGAGCCAAGCCCCAAGCTCCAGGCTGTAAAACCTGAGCGCTACATCATAGAGCCCTAACGCAAGACAGTGCAATTACCCACCTTCGTGTTAGCATCATCGAGAAGGAAGTTCAAGTCTACGGATTCAACAGCGAAGTCGGAAGATTTATATTCATCCCTGAATTTCTCTCCCGGTCGGCCTCTTCGCTGGGACGAGAGACCGTGGGTTGCTCCTTCGGAGGCATCCTTAGTCTCCTGCGTGCTTGCTGCGTCCGGCTCTTCCGCTGATGTTGGCTGTAGCGTTTTCAATGGGCCTTCGTGTGCTTGCTGACGGTGGAAATCTGCCCTCAGAGCGTGCGGAGTACGGAAGGGCACCTCTGCTTCCTTCGGGCCTGACTCTGCAGCAGGAGGGTGCCTGCCTCCCTCTTCTTCTTCATGCCCTTCTCTGTTAGCTCCTACTGGGGAGTCAACAGCCGCGGCTGTGGCTGTTGACTCCCCAGTAGAAGCGGCTGCGGCCATTTGGACGTTGGGGAACATAGAAAGAAAAGAGTTAAGGGCTCCATGCTCATCTGAAGGGTGACTGGACAGCTTTGGCCCCGTTCTCCACGAGACGCAGAGGGATGGGCTTAGCAAGGACGACGCAATGGCTGAGACTGAAGGGCTCAAATGCAAATTTGGGGCGTCTCCCGCTGCTGACGCTAGGTAACCTTGCAATGAACGCGCACAAATGGAGATAAGAGCGACAGGATATTGTTCAACAGCCACCGTAAAAATGTGTAAATGGAAGCACTTTCATTTATTAATATTTGCGTTTGGGCCTGTTCTCCTTTTTACGCAGACAGGTGTCTGCCTACAGCTAATACATTGCCACACTGGTTTAAAGCCCGCATGCGCTGGCTCAACCAAATGATTAATGGGCGAAAGGTTCAATTTGAATTTCCGTGATTGCTTCAACTCACCAGACTCTGGTGTTCGGGAGATTTCATACAGAAGGAGCGGTGTTGCAAAGATGGACAGGTGAAACGTCAAAAGCTTCATTTTGCCACCGAAAAAAGGATATATGACAAAAAAGATATTAATGATATAGAGAAGACTCTAAGACTGCTATAAAACAACTATTTCCCCCCTTAAGGGTCTACTGAGACTGAAGTTGCAAGGTTCTGCTTGTAATGGAGAAACACACCGCACCTCTGCCAATGGTCACGTGCTGCTGAGCGATAGAGCACCAGTGGTGACATGCAGTTCTGTTGCTCCTCTCAGTCTTTAGCACCAGAGGCAGACAAAAATATAAGTCAACAGGGAATTAAATGCTAAATTTGACTGCCACAACGGCGTGAAGTGCAGCCGGCTGTGCCGCTCTCGCTCATATACAGAGTGTACACATCGCCTTCTGCCCCACAAGCCGCGCCTGCTGAGCAGCTACACGAATTTCTCCGCATATATAAATGTGAGAAATCAGATTTAGCAGAGACTAAACATTTTAGATAGTAGAGAATTGGCCCGATGTGTGTTTCGGCAGAAGCAGATAGCATTCCACCCAGCCGTTTCGCGCCTCGTTACACATTTACCTCCCTACTGCTTCCAGTGCATCTCAGCAATTTGAGCGCTTCCCTGGCCCGATGCACTTCTGTATCCTGCGCACTGTATGCTGGCCAGGAACACTGGCACAGCAGGTCCTCTATGAGCACCGGAAATACGAACACAGTTGCCGATGTCTCTCAGAAATGCCGTGCCAAACCTGGCACAACCTTTATACTGCATAGGGAAAGAAGTTCGGATAAAATAGCCGTGGTCTGGGCCTAGAAAGGTTATCTGGAATGCGCAACGAGTAAGGTCACGAGACGAAATCCAGCTAGAGAGTGAGACTGTGACAGATAACTAACAAAAACATCTGCACTCAGTGCGACCCATAGACACAGTGCAACATGCATCCGCATGTCCGAAATCTATGGTGCTGAAAAAAGCATGCCTTGGCATCTCTTCTGCGCACTAATAAACAAACTCTCAGGGTGGAAAGCGCGACACCCCTTTGCGAATTCAAGGTTTTGGCAAGCGTCTACGTGGAGGCTAGCTGTGGGGTGTGGCTGGCTAGGACTGCTGCTGCTATCCGTCTAACACTGAGCTACAAACGCTTCATCAACGCTCATGTGAAGTTTAACTCTGCTATGTTCGTAGGCCCGCCACGTGCACGCAGAAATGTACACACAAAAAGTGATGTCATTTCTGTGCCGGTTGTGAACTCTGTAAAGAAAAAATGGACGCAGTAGACATCCTTCGCCACTGAAAATCTTAGCAACTCGTATATATATATATATATACAGCTTAAGACTCCGTGACAATGTTGTGTGGACCGTGCGTAGGCCCTTTCCGACCATCACACATCCCCTCGAAGTCGAGCAGGTGCGCCGCTGAAGAAAACAACACAGGCACTACCGTACCAACTAGAAAAACAAATTTGCCGTTCGCCGTTCGCATGCCCTTTTCTGATACAGAGCTGTGGCGTGCAGTTTTCCTGCATTTTGCATTTATTGTCGATGAAGCAGAAATCCTGTAGCCAGCCAACAGCAGCAAGGGGAACACAGCTTGCTTGCCTGTCAATGACCGAAGTACCTTCTCTCCCTTCGCCGCCAGGATTGTCTCCACGTCGCTCTCCTCATCTCCAAACCATTTCAGACGGTCTGCCACTAAATGGACTGCACCAACAAACATGCAGTATAATGCCTGTGCGCCTATTCAAAGCATCACGAAGTGAACGGATGTGATTTGCGCAGCTCTTCGCACCTTGTGTAGAGATTCGTGAAAGATGAGAAAACAAAAAAATGAGCCGAACTAAGCCAAATTACACCGTTCTGCTCTGCATCCAGGACTACTGAGAATATCCACCGTACGATTGCTGCAGCCGGGACACCGCACGATCACCACCCCCTGAGTATATGCCACCTAAGAGATAAGTGTTAGCAACACAACAATGATACTACTGCTGCAGAAGCAACAGTATCGGCCGCGGCTGCTGCAAATGTCGCCGTCGCTCTCTACCGTCTATTGTGCTGCTCAAGGGTACGCTGAACAGCATCAGACCTTTGAAAATTTCTTGGCCGATCTTCTATTGCACTTGCAACAGGTGAAAACTAGAGTCATCAGACCGTCCTTCGCGTTTTCTGTCCCGGGAATTCGCGAAAGATTAACACGCACGGATGGGCCCTCATTTGACTTCTTAGGCAATGATTGGCCCTCATTCGGCTTTGTGGGCACTGCTTGGCCCTCATTTGGCTCCTTAGGAGTCCACCCTGACAGCTCCCGTTGCTGTCCGTCTGTGTCTTCGGAGGCTACTGCTGCCGCTCCAGTCGTTCCTGAGGGGACCGTGCTCAGCGGACGTCGGATCAGGATCCCGCAGAACTGGGCATGGGAAAGAGATGACACCATAGGTCCGGGGACACCGAAGAAGTTAAGCTGCCTCAATTGTGCCCTCCTCGTTGGTACCGTCCCCCGTGTTGCCGTTGGCCATTCGGCAGACTCCCTCGCAGCTGATGCCGACAACACACTGCTCAACCTCACAGGAAGTATCAAACTATCTGTATTCGAAGTTCTTCCTGTGAGCACTGAGTTGCTGTGCTGATCTCTAGGAAACCCTGGATGAGCAGTGAGGGCCCCATTGCGCACTCTTGCGGAGACCCAGAGCGACGGTTGCTTTCTAAGCGCATGCATCATATAAAAGTCAAAACAGATTTCATGTGTACATTGCGCAATGCGACAATTAATCATCCTGACAGCAGCAGTGAATAAGAAGAGCAAGGACTATAGGCTGCCCGGCATTAGGGAAGGTGGCAAGAGCCCTCTCGGCACTGCTTCCGACGCAAAAAAAGGTTAACCCCATCGTTAATGCATCTACGTAAAGGGAACGATGAAATTAAAGGATGCAGAAGCCAGACGTAAGCACTAGTTGCTCCATGACGCACCAGCAGTGCATCAGGTTAGGGCCCCACAGTCCAATGGGTCTCGACACATATTAGCTCGACTGCTGCTCCAACCTTGTTGCGCACCCAAACTAAACGTGAGGCAAAATATAAGAGTAGATTTGTATAAGGGTGTAGCACGTGTTTTGCAGTATGCCAGAAGATATGAGAGTCTGAGCAGTTCCACCTGAGCCGCAGTCATGCTTGGAAAGGACCAGCGCATGAAGCCTTCACCGAAGAAAAACCCAAGGCAAACTTTTAAGGCTCCTATATTCAACCATTTGGGGTTCACCGCTCCCTGGCTGGTTACACGAAAAAGGAAAGCCTCCAGAACCTCCACAGCCTTGAGCCAAGTTAACGCTTTTCTGCGCAGCGAGCATCGGCAGCTAGCGTTGCCCAGCTGCAGCCAGTTCACTTGAAGGCAGGTGCGGTATCTCCGGCCAACTAAGCCCCCAAACTGCTTTGAAATGGGAAGTGCTCGCGGCTGCCTCCCTGGACAAAGCTTTGGCGCTCGCCCATCGGAGCCCGAAGATTGCGATTTTTCAGGACCCTCTAACCTGTAGATCTACACATTGCAAGTGCCCCGCTATTACACAAATTCTGTTGCGGCGCCCTACAGCATCACAGCTTCCTATCACCTGCATCTACGCCCTACGTAGGCTCGCTGACGCTGCTCCGCTTTCCACACTGCGACTGTTCTCTCTCTGTAGCGGTCACCGCGTCCATACTTCCGCTAAAGCTACTTTTGCCCGTGACAGCCCAGAGAAGTACGAGCCTGCTCCAAAAAACCTGCCTTACGAGCGTGCGTGCATGCAATGCTGCAGTACTTCGTTGGAGGATAGCAGAAGGGCCCTCCTCATGGCGCTTAAGCTCTAGATACGAAGCGCAGACGTCTAACAGCTCTACTGACTTTCCTAAAAGGCAGGACTGACGTTTCATTCCCAGTCCCCGTTACTAGTTCAGGAGTTATTCGGGCCTGCGGTGGCACGCCGGGTTCCCTACTGTCAGGTAGAACGCTCGGTGAGCCATAGGCCTTTACCTCCATACGCCGTGAATCTTCCGCTGAGCAAGCAACGATTCTGTTGCGTTTTCGGCACATATATGTGCAGGAGCCTCGTAGACACCTGCGTGGGCATCCATGGGGGCAAAAAAGTCGCCGACCGCTGCCTAGTACCACTATGGGTAGCTCTGTAGCTTCAACAAAGGCGGCCGAACCCTCTCTTCCATCATAATTAAAGGCTCCACAGACACTTGGAGCCTTTGATCTTGCTACAGGGCCGCGAGGTACTGAGGCAACAACTGACGGAGAGTAGCACCCAACCATGGCAGCTAGTTCTGCGCTGCTATTATTGTTGTTCAACGCCTCAGAGCCCTCAACCCCTACAGCTAGGATCATTTCTTCAGCCTCGATCCTATCTAACAGCAGTGTGATAGGTGTGCCCACGGAGTTGGTCTGCATACTGCTATTAGGATTCCCCCTCTCTGGCAGCTTTCTTGTCCTCGCGACGACTTTCTGTGAAACTCCTCTGTAGTTCTGATAACCATCAACACTATTGCTGCTGCTGTTGTTGCTGCTGTTGCTGTCGTTATTACTGCTACTGCCGGCAAGCTCCCCTTCGTGAATTCCCTTTTCTAAGCTTGCCCCTGTTACAACAGTGCATGCGCACGAGGGCACGGGCAATGGCTCTAGAAGGACTGCCTTTTGCGGCCTTACGCCCCTTGCAAAGTCGAGAAGCGAATAAAAAGAGGAGTGAGGTGACGCCGATACCGAATGTACAGACCACACTCCGTTGCGAAAGGAAATGCCGCCTAAACACACGAGAACGCACTTTGCAGCCAGTCCTTAACCTCGGGTTCTGAACTTGTCATTCTGAGCAATGCACTGTAAGACGTTGATCCAACGCCTTGAACAGCACCAAACCTTCGAACACGCATGCAAGCGCGCTTGGCTTTACTGCTCCATAACGGCAAGAAAAGACTAATGTTCGATACACCCGAATATTTGCGCTGAAGGCATGTATTATGGCGAGGCAGAGCTTACCGGATGGAAGCAGCCCCAATGCAGATAGCGCGGACGCCTCGAGGGCACTAATCACTTTCAGTAGCAGCCGCCGAGGCACCGCAAACAAAGGCACGGCAGCCTGGCTAGCTTCACCAGACAAACCAACCAACATTTCCACATCTTCTTGGCTCGCTTCATGCCAGGGCTGCTCCTGTGGATGACCTGGCCGAGCTGCGCTCCGTGACTCATTAGGCCATGGGCAGCCGCATGCAGGCATTTCTCTGACAGCAGTACTGTTGTCACTACTGCTTCCCCAGGATGTGGAAGTAAATATCCAGCTCATGACTGCTCTAATTACTGGACAATAAAGACCGCGTGTAAAGTCCTCAATGCTATATGCGCAGGTACCATTAGCCTGAGCAGCAGCAGCAGCAACAGCTGCAGCGGAGTCAGATTGGGCCTCAGAAAGTCCTATGGGGGCCCTAAGAGCCTTTCCGAGCTGCTGCAAAAGCGATTCCTTCCCCAAATTGTCTACGCCCACAACAACATGCAGACTACGGCTTCGATGCCCCCGAAGTAGGCCCTTCGTAGGTCGCGTTCGAAGATTCTGAAAGACGCCCTCAAAAGTGACCTCCATCCGTTGGCACATTTCAGCCACAGCGTCTTCCTTAGAAAGAAAGGAGAAACGGGGGTGCAGGTAAGTGCTGTCAAAGTACAGCACGTCTGCATGGGGCTCTTCCTGCTGTGACGCGACTCTCCCAGGGGTCCCAGCAAAGCCTACGTTTCCTGAATGCTCTCTAGCACGCGATACGGAATCATCCGAAGCAACTGCAGCAGCTGCTGCTGCTGCTTCGGGATCTTCTAGCTGCTGCAGCAGCCTTAGCCCCTGCTGCACTTGCTGCAACAGCGGCTGCAAATTGCTTCCGGTGCAGCAGAAGTCGCCAATGTGTACGTAGGATCCCACAGGAGCGCAGCGCAGAAGCAGCATAGCAGAGCCAGGACAGTGCCTTGCATCCACCAGCTGTATGAAAACTCTATCTACAACAGAACCGCAGCAACATTTGTTCCCACTATCTGTGCTGCTGTTGCTTAAGGCGTCAGATGCTGCGCGTTCCAAAAAGAGCACTGGATCTCGAATACGAAGCGGCATTGCCTGCCCCCACCTGTTGCGGCAGCATTCCCTGCTGCAGAAACTACCGTTGGTATTGAATACATGTGCTTCTTTTACTTCTTTGCAAGCTTCGGGTCTGCTCGCTTCTGTATCATCCCCCACGTGGAGTCCCGAAAGTAACTCTGTCTTAGCATTTGTTTTCGGGAAATGCAGCGGAAGACCATTAGTTTGGCAGTGCACTTCATGATCTGATGCATTGGGAGATCCACAGGAACGGTCGTGCCCGGTATTCTGTGAAATTCGTCGAAAAAGGAATAAATAAGGCGTCTGGAGCTTTAGGGGCCGCACCAAAGGGCGCAGCTGGGGAAATTTGCGAATCAACAAGTGGCCGGTTATTCCAATGCAGACAATGGGGCCTCTGGGGCTCCACCAGGGCTCCCGCAACCTGGGTCCCATGACTGCCTCGAGCCCAAGAAAGAATAAGGCCTCTCAGGTGGTCGGTACGCGCATGCGTCAGCACGAAAAGACTGGGCAAGCATTCTTCGCACCAATTACAAGTAGGGGCCTCCCCAACTTGGCAGTAGTCCGCTGGCGGCACGTTTGGCCTGTGTACTCCTCTTGGAGATGGGAGGAGGCTGGCGGCTACTGTTGAGTCCCCGTTGAGTTCCTTGGGGACTCCGCTGAAGGACTTCGACGAAAAAATCCACGTAAACATTCAAACCCTCGAATGGAACTGAAAGGGGCATCTAGTGTAGAGAATTAGCCCCTTACTTGGAGGGAAACCAACCTCTCCACAAGGCCCTTGTAGGGTAAAACCATGCTGGGGTGAGCAGAGGTCAGGAAACATGAAAAACACCTGGCTCTGAACGTTCAGACAGCTCGTCACATTTGATTGAGTTGCTATGGAGTAGAACACGGGAGGGCCTATGACAGGTCTTCAGCCCAAGACATCGCGTGCAGCGCACCCTGCAACCCTTCGTCTGACAGCTTCTTTGATCAGCTGACTCTGTATCTGAGTCCGTACCTGTTGAGATATGATTCGTTTGAACAAAATACAACCAAAAAGAAGACGAAACATGACGATCTCCAGAGGACGCTTCCAGGGCCCGTGGTTGACTAGCTGGGGCCCTTGCGGCTCTCTCGGGTTTGCTGCGTTCCTTCGGAGTGAATCAATGAGCATCAGCCAAGTTTCTGCAGGTAGCCCATGTAGTGTAATGATCGCTTTAATGTTCATAATTTGTTTTTGACAGGCTAACGACGCTTGCCCACTGGGGACGCCAACCTGTGTCCCTCAAGGGGCCCCCTTGTTCTCTTTGTGGGGTTCTCGAGGCGCATTTGCCCAAATGTACTGGGAAAATAGTTGTCCATGCTTTTATCAGGGATTTGTGGATAGTACATGCTTATTCTAAGGATTTGTGGTGCCGCTGACGTTGAGGAAGCTGCAGATAGAACTGCCGTCAACACTGCTACCGATATTGCAGAGAGGGCAGGATATTGGATAACACTGAAGTCGCCGATCTTTTTGTCGCAATGAACAGTCGGAATGCCATCCAACAGCAGCAGGCGGAGCAGTCGCAGCAGAAGCCTCAGCAAGAGCAACAAGAACAAGGGGAAGAGCACCAGCAAAAAATCCAGCAAGAGAAGCGTGAGCGCCGTCGACAGCAGCAGCAGCGGCGCAGACAGCAACTACAAAAGTGCCGTCGCCGTCCTGAGTCGGTACCGGTCCCCTCAGCTCTACTAGGCGCCGCATTTGAGAGGCAGCACGTCGATTCTGTTTATGCGAAGATTGCACCCCATTTCAATCATACAAGGTCATCGACCGGAAGCGTTGGATCCGAAACACCATGTCCTAAGCCCTAGAGTCTATCACGTCCTACAGCTCAGGCACTAGTGACCTTACATTGATCGGGATGTAGCGATTGTCTTCCCCTCAAGTATGGAGGCAGAGGAGCGTGGTTTTCTTTCATGCCAATAGCTGCAAGTGAACAAGCACATGCAAGCTTAATGCATCATTACAGGCAAATACGTGCAAATTTGAAAAAGATAATGCAGATTTGGAGTCTCTTTGCGTACGTATAGGAACCGGCCGTGGCCCAAGGTTGCAGCCTTCATCGAGTCGTTACCACCCGACGCGCTGTTGCTGGATGTTGGCTGTGGCAACGGCAAGTACCTCCACTGCAGACCGAGCATCTGTCAAATCGACAGCAGCAGCGGAAGCAATAGCACCAATTGTTTCAGCCCGTACAGCTCATTGTCAATAGGCCTTGATAGGTCCAAAGAGCTGCTACGTTGCGCCTCCGAGGCCGCTGAGGGTTCTTTAAGGACTCGACTTGTGCAGGCGGACTGCCTGCATACCCCGATCAGAGATGGTAAGATACGAATGCTAATTGTTTTGATATGAAGCTCAGAGTATGCTTGGCTCCTCTACTGCATGCTTTCTGTTGTGGGGCCGGTTGTGCGTGGGCTCCCAGAAGTTGCAGACGGCGTCATATGCATTGCCGTTCTCCATCATTTGACTACGGAGGAAAGGAGGTCAGCTTTGGTTCCTGCTGTCGGTGATGTCGCTGTTACTGCTGCTAGTGTTATGGCTGCTCAGCTGGTGCTTCTCCTTGGCGTCGTAGCTGTTTCTGCCTCGTGCAGGACTTCAAAGCAGTTGCTTTTCTTGCCCCTAATGTATCCAAAGACAAGTGGCACAGCTTATTGCTGAATGTTTGTGACTTCTATTGCCCAGTTGCTGCTTCAGTTGCTACTACTGCACTTGCTGCGGTTGCTTTCGCCGACACTGTGGTTGCTGCTGCAGCTTTCGCTGCCTCCACGGTTTTATGGGAATCAACACAGTTGCTCCTGCGCACTCCGCTACTGCTGTTGCTGCGGCCGTCACTGTAACTGTGCTGAGGGCTACAAGTGTCGCTCCTGCGAAGTGCGTATGCAGGCTACAGGCCTTGAGAGAACTGGCACGCATTACGCGATGTGGGGGACGCATTTTGATTTATGTGTGGTACGTGGAAACCCTTAACTGAGTACAGAGTCCTAGGCCAACAGCGTCAGCCCAAGGCTCTTTCTCGTTGCTTAACACAGCCGTCCAACTGCTGAGCCTGCTCGAGTGTTTGTTGACTTCCAGGGCACTCGAGCATGAGTCAGGCAGTGTTGGGGAGCGTAAATTTCCAAGTCAAGATGGTAAGCTGCTGCGGGAGCCGATTTTCACAGTGACTGGACCTTGCTGCAGTTCATGCAGCTTGTGCTAGCTCTTTCTCTTCCATTGCTCGGTGCCGGCAATGTCGCGGCCGTAACAAGTGGGCCAGCGCCCCCGTATTTTCTCCTGTTATTGCTGTGTTTGCTGGCATTGCTTCAGTATTGGTGCCATGGGTGTATCAGAAGCATCATGAGCGCGCTCGCGAGCGTTCGGAGGGTGTGGGTGGCTGCCAAGGCAAAACAGATGCTGGCAGGCCCGGAGGAGCCGACAAAACAGATGCTGGCGGGCCCGGAGGAGCCGACAAAACAGATGCTGGCGGGCCCGTAGGAGCCGAGTCCTCGGCGGTTCCACCTCTAGACGACGAGGATACAGTATATCGGTTCTACAGAGTATTTACGAGGGAGGAGCTGTTGGGCCTTTGCGCCAAAGAAAAGCGGGTCAGGGTACTCGACTGTTACAATGATACGAACAACTGGGCAGTAGTGCTCGAAAAGTGCAGCGACCAGTAGACATCCACTCCCTCTGATCTTTTCCAGGGTCACTGAGGGCCCCACAGACAGACGCGTGTAAAGGAAGACCCAAAAGAAGTGGTAGCTGTACACTTAACGAAGCTTCACAAAGTGCCTGCTGAGACCCAGGCAGCAGTTGCCCAACATGTCTTGACAGAGGTGAGAGGGCTTCACTGTGTGAAGTAAGAAGAGGCTTTAGATAAGAGGCGCCGTGGCTGGTACGAGGCTGTTGAGAACGCACGTGGATATAGGAACCGAGGCCGAAGTAGAGAGAAGTAGCTGCAGAGACGAGAGTAGGGCTGGGTGGGGAAATACTGCCAACACACACGAAAGCGGCGAGCCGCAAGTCGCCTGGCAGGCTGCCAAGCATAAGGCGGAGGAGCCATCGAAATATACAGCCGCCGAGAAGTGCGCAGCCAAGCGGACGAAAATAAATGCTACACTACGCAGAGCCAGCGGCAGCCAGGAACGCCGGGAGAAAGCGACTGAACAGCGGTACAGCATAACCTCGCAAACACTTCATGTTTTGAGTACAATTTAAAAGCAGGAATTCGCTCCCAAAGAGTGCTTTCTCTGGATATGTGTGGACGGTTCTTCGTGTCGCTTCCACCAGTCTTAGTTTCTGCGACAGTGCAACCTGTCCACCCGTTCGTCTCTCCCAAGTCGCGTAGCGAATCCATCGCCTCCTTTCAAGCGTCTATCTCGCTCATTTTCGTTTGAATTCCAAACGGGTCTCCTAGAAAACTGTCTCAGTTCGGAGCCACCATGCTTGCCCATTGCTGGCGATGTGCACCCTTCCGCAGTTCCGGTTGCTTCGCGCTGCCTATTTCTGATGATACATGCCGTGGCGACTACTTTAAGTCATCTCTGACCTGTCTGCCTTTCTGACCCCTTCCTGTTTCCCTCTTTTCATCTAATCCCCCTGTGTGCCCTTTGTACGCATCTATTAAGCTCTGTGTCTAATTATGCGTCTCTACACGCGTGCTTCCACCTCTTAGTGTGTGCATGCCTGCTTGCCTTCTTGGCTGTGCATCGTCTATCTGTCTTCCGTTTTAGTCCCTGCTGCATCTCTCGTCTGTCGTGCCATTCCTTATAAGCGTGTGTTGGCGTGACCAACTTTATTGTATCGCTCCCGTCTACTCCTTCAGCTGCCTCCCTGTTTCTACCTTCGTCGCTTTCGTCCATGCCGTAAGTGCCTAACAGGGTGGGCAACCGAGAGAGTGCAACACGAGCTTCTCCCTTTCTCCGCACAGGGCCTACTCAGCCCCGACCAATTTTCGCTCTAAGCCGCGATAGCAGAACGCGCGCTACCCTCGGGCGGTTGACGACATATCCGTGTGGTATGCGCGCGCTACCCTCGGGCGGTTGACGACATATCCGTGTGGTATGCAGCGGCAAATCGAAGGCATCGAAAACAGCAGCGGTGCCAGCTGATAATGCTGCTGACCCAGCAAAGATCCTAGAGGAGCCACCCAGTCACATGTGGACCGGTGGCTAGCTGCCTGCCAGCCACCGCATGGGACACTCCTCTACTGTTACATCCGTCTGTTCACGGGACCCCTTGTACAGCGGCATGATGCTGCTGCGAAAACTGCGGCCGAAACCTAAGTCTGTGTCATTTTTTGGCGCCTAGGAAGGCTGCCATGTTGCTAAGCTGCTGCATCCAGCTAATGCCTCCTGCTGGTCCCTCCTGTTGCTGTTGTTGCTGTTCCGGCACATTGCTCTGAGAGTTGCCAGTTTGCTGCTGCTGTTGCGGCTGCTGGTGCCATGATTGTGGCTGCTGCTGTTGCTGTTGCCACGGCTGCTGCTGTTGCTGCACCGGAGGCCCTTGTTGCTGCTGCTGCAGCTGTTCCGGCGCCCACTGCTGCGGCTGCTGCTGTTGCTGCGGCTGCTGCTGCCATGTCTGTGTCATATTGAGCTGCTGCTTCACTTGTGCTTGTTGTTGTTGCGGCCAGCTCTGCGGGAGCTGAGGTTGCTGCCATGATGGTTGCTGTTGCTGTTGCTGCCAAGGTTGCTGCTGCTGCCACGCCTGCTGCACAGCAGGTCCAGGCACCTGCTGCTGCTGCTGCCACTGTTGCTGTGGCTGCTGCTGCTGTGCCTGCTGTTGCTGTTCAGGTGGTGTATGTGACGCAGGAGCACCAGTAGCGGCAGCTGCAGCAGCAGCAGTACCGGAGCTGGGGGAGGGACCAAGGAGACCGATCATCCTGAATGGCACAATGCAAGCAATCCCATACGAAGTGCCCTGTTCCGCTGCTGCTGATGGCCTTGATATGCAGTCATGACTGGCAACGCACACGACCGGGCGGCAGCAGCACAGTACCAACAGCGGCAATCGAATGGCCAAAACCAAGCTGATACCAGCATCGACGTCAGGCTTACACAGAGTTGCTGTTTCTGAGATGCTGCGGGAAGAGATATCTGTATTTGTCGAAGACTTGGAAACCCGGAGGCACAAAATACAAAAATAGCCCGCCGGGCAAACACGCAACGCCCGCCTGAAGCGACAGAGATAACGCACAAACGGCAAGACTCCCAAGTTGCAACAGTAACATGCAGTTTCATTTCTGACAGAAGCGCCACATCAACATCAGCTCATGATGCCAGCTCTCCGTTAACGAACGACAAAAGCCCAACATTGGCAGCAGTATCAGTAACAGCAGCGCACCCGTTCCTTCGACCTAAAATATGACACGTATTCATTGAAAGGCGCTTCGTTCTCTGGACTCGCCGGTTGCAGCAGCACTGCTGCGTCCATTGGCTTAAGTGCCAACTCCTCGCATTTACTGCGGTGACTGACGTTCAGCATGCTTTGAAGCTGCGCATACATACGCCCTAGACCCTAGACACTGAGCCCAAGAAAACGCAAAAAACCGAGAAGCTTGGAGTGCCTAGTCACCAAGTACCGCTAAGCAAGGTAAACCAGGATCAGCACAAGGAAAAGCTGCAGATCCACCAACAACAGCAAATGCAGCAGCAGAAGCCCACTTGTTTACCTGCTGCAATTCCAGCGGCACTTCTCCCTGTAAGCAAAGGGCAGTAACACAGACCTTCTTCCGGTCGTTCCGACCCAAAGCCCACCTCCACTGGGCGCCAGCGCTGGTGGGCCCTCCCTGCGACCCTCCAGCTGCCGGTGCCATGGCAATACCAGGGGCACCAGAGGACATGTCCTTTGAATATGAAATGCCCTGACGTGAACGGTGCTGCTGCAGTAGCGGGAACAGCAACAGCGGCTCCCGAGCAACAGGCGCATCTAACTGCGGTTGCTGCTGCTGCTGTGGCGGTGGTGGCTGGTGCGGTTGCTGTGGTGGCATTAGTCCATTGTGACCCTCCCTCCGATACATCTGCGACACACAGTGACCCTCGACAAACGATATCAAACTGACTGCATGCACCGAAGATAGCTGCTGTCTGGCTGTGACAGGGTAGACCGAGAAAGGCATCTAATGCAGATGCGGCCGCAAGCATATGCATGCAGATGGATGCATGCACTGGTTATGCCGATACACCGTAACAAGACGAAACGACCCTTCGAAGCACTTCGATAACTGCTCTGTTCAAACTGCCCCCACTGGAGGCCGCTGCTCGTAAGACTGCGTACTGCTTCCTCATCGTGGCCCCAGTCCCTTGCTCGCGGAGGCTCTCCGTCTCGCCGATCATCCTCCTGCGCACATAACCGAAGCCGCGAACTGAACCCTGAGTGCCAGAGTTTAGGCCTCCTGGCTGCCTAGGCGAAGACAATTTGTGACAATAGCATCTCTGACAACTAAGCTCCTCCGGTTCGATTCTGCATTTCAGGTGTGAGATCAGTCAATATTTAGCTCGTCCATATGATCCTCACAACAGATCTCAAGGGTTGCCTGGCCCTCCTATCCCAATCCCTGTCGTTGCGATGTCCCCCCCTTTCAATCTGTTGTTTGCCCCTATTGGAGCGTCTGCTATTGGTGCTGCTTCCGCCCGCACCAGCAGTAACGGCTTCGCTGCCAGCCTCAGACACTGCATCATCTCCTCCGCTATTGCGTCCACCAGCACGGCCCCGCTGGTATTCGACACGAACACAGCGCCCCACTGAAGCAAAAGAAATTGACAACAACAAACAAGCGAAGACACAGAAAACGTGCACGCATGCAGGCGCGAGTTCAAGCTGCGAGCACAAGAATATACGTTTTGAGCAAATAATGCGTTGAGTTAACGTGCGGTATCCAGAGCAACCGATACGTTTGGGAGTAGTTTCATGGAGGGTATACACCGACAGCAGACAGAATGTGCAGGCAACGCGGATGCTGTCGCAGCCAGCTAGTTAGAGCTACTTAGCTGCCCCGGGAAATTCATTAATAAACAAGTTACCAAGGGGAGTATACACACAGCGAGGTGGATGAGAAGCGCAATTTTTGTATACTCACTAAATGTCTTCCCGTTGAGTGTTTCGAAGCAGCGTCTGGCGTCTTCAGCGTTTTTATAGAGAACAAAGGCATACACTGCATTGGGCCCGACCCGCTGGTTGACCCTGAGAGCCACATTCTCAACCTCGCCGCATTGTGAAAAAAATGCCTTCACATCTGACTCCCGTGCCTCCTTCGACACGTTGTGGATGTACAAATTGCGGCCCCCTGTAGAGCCTTGACGTGGGGGGCCCTCAACACGACCTCGACCTTCCAAAGTCCAAGACGGAGGCGCGCTAGAGGGGCCACCGCTTTCATCGCCCACTGTGGCACCTCCACCTACTGATGGAGGCGGACCCATCATAGGGGGCGCCAGGCCAGGGGCTCCACTTCCTGGCAACAAGGCCTGTGGGGGATAAGGCAGCCCGGGCAGAAGCGGGGGTAGGGGGCCTCCACCAGCCGTTGACCCTGGAAATGCACCAGGAGGCATGCCGCCTAAAGAGGGCGGGGCTCCTGGTAGGGGCGGAGCTCCACCTGAGACGCCCGATGAGGCACTATGGGGTGTTTGGAAACTCCCGTCCATCTCTACGGGAAGGGGGGGGCCCCTATTAACGAAACGAGGGGCCCCGACGTTTACCAGGGCAGATGTAAAGGTTTAAAGGGAGAAAGAGGAGCTAAATGCCCCAAAAGTGGCAAATTGGAGACCGTAAGACAACAGGAGTCGCCCGAGGATAGGGGGCCCCCGCCGTGGTGTATTCGTTGTTGGGTATCAGAAGACTTTTGGTGCCTTTCGAGGGCCCCCTATAAACTCAGTCGGAACAAGACGGGAATTCAGTCCTATGCCAAAAACGAAAACGACAAAAGATGGAGCAACCCGTCGGCCCATGCTGCATGGAAGCCAGGATGGGAGATGAAAAAGTGGGGGCAGACGCCGGTCTACGATGCATACTTTTAGCTATAAACCCTCAAGTGTAATTGAAAGCTGCTAATGCGAGCTTCTTAGTGCCCTCAAAATGCCGAGCACTGGAGCCACATGGCTGCCAAGTGCATGCGGCCCCCAGAAACCGAACGACCAACATGAGCTGTTGATACCCCCACATGGGACATGGCATTCGTTGCATTTCATACTAAATGAATCCTGTTTAGTTAATCCAGAAGCAAGAAGAAGCAGAAATCTGCGTGCTGTGAAAGCTGCGTTCTCCCACCCGTATGCCCCACTCACGCTAGCTCAGTCAAAACATTCGTAGAAAGTAGGCAACATTAAGCACTTTTGGATTCACCGATAAGGCAAGCGTGACACAAAGCTCTCGCGGCCGTTCATGAGACAGCGAAAGGCACAGAGAAAATCCATATGTTGCCTGGTGGTTCTGACATCTCCCGCTAGCATTCATTTTCATGCATTTGAAGAGATACTGTGCAATACACAGCACAGCGATATGACGGCCTCATGACGTGCTATAGGCTTGACGTTAGGCTGGGAGTTCCTGAGTGGTTCGTCAACGCAGTCCAACGGGAGGCATTATAAATTGGGGTCATGGGAATAGAGGCAACCTGGAGGTTAGCTCTCGTTTTTATTGTGCATTGATTTACATGCCGCTGCCCAGTTTACGGCGCAGGAGAAGAGAGTTAGGCAGGTCATAAGTTAGTAGCAGCATAACTAAGGGAATGAATCACTCCGCGTGTAGCGAAGTGTACGCGTGCCTGTACCAGCTCTCCCCTCCGCATGTGAATTCGTCACACTTTCATAGTTTGCATGTGTTTTTGCTTAGTAGCTATCGTGCTTAGTAGTTATCGCCGCTGCCTCAACTACAGCATCTGCACCGTGGGAGCGCTTGTGACCATCTGCGTTTATTTTAACGTAGCTCGCATTGCATGAATGCACATAAAACGCACAGCAACATTTGACAGAGTGTCGTGAGATGCATTATGGTTGAGCTTCTTAATCTTGGGCACTGCAGTTCCCGCATAGCAACTGCTAGGAGGTCTCGGCAAAACAAACGTAAAGAATTCGTACCACGTAGCAGCGGTTGCCAGTGAGCTCGCATGGTTGGGTAGTTGAGGACTTCTCTACCGATCGTAAAAAAGTGGTGTGGTGCCGTGGACCCTGTGTCTCACAAGATGAGCCAACTTGTTTTGATCACATTAGTATCGACAGTATTGGCTATTGGTGCCTACGGGAGTTGTCTGCTCATGTCCTATAGCCAGTAGGGCTAGAGATGCAAACCACATTTTTGCAGTCGTTACTGCAGACCTACAATCTCTGTTGTGGCCTGAAGTGGCCTCAACCGTCACTGCTGCGGCGCCGCCAGAGCCCGCGATGACACGTCGGCCTTCAACACTGAGTTGAACTAGATGCGAGCGGCGAATAACTCAGCTAAATATATTGATCGTGACGTAACATACTCTTTGCAACAGCCCTACAGCCAAAAGCTGTCCACAGCAACATCTGTGAGTTTTCTCAGCGTGGAGCCAGCTCCTTTCCTGTGAGCATGTTAGCCCCTGCCCGTTCAGCCCCGTTAGTGCCACTAGGCTGAGAAAAAAACGAAAACCACATTAATCAGCCCTAGATCTTTTCATGAGCTTTCGCCTCTAGAATGAAGCCATACACACCCACACGACTAGATACACGCAACAACACCGTTATGTCGTCTCGCAACACACAGGAATGCAGCGTCGCCCTTTCCCTCTCTATGTGTCCTTTAGAAACCAGCTGCATTGAATCAAGTGTTTCTAGTGCGTCTCATCGAGCTGTTCATAGCTACTGTAACGACTACGTTCCGCACGAAAAACCTGCTTTGTGCATGCACATGGGGCCGATAAGCCCCAGTGCAATCGGAGCAAGCCTTCTTGAATTTACCTGCTCCTGGTCTCCCTATTTTAATTTCATTGGGTTTAAGTAAAGCGTGGCTGTTATCATCTCCTCCATCCTGCTTTCCGCACGGCGGAGTGGCGGTTTGTTAGCCCATGCCTTCGCAATAGTCTCTTCACCACCTTTTTTTATGGCCACGTTCCATCTCCTTTTCGGGAGGTGGGAGCAAATTTCTAATTTACCAAGGTTTGGGAGAAAGCACTAGTGTTAGCAACAACGTGGGAAGGGCGGGGGTTGGAAGCCCCCAACAGTACTCGGGTCGGAGAGCCCCTGCCCTTCCTAACGCTGTTGCGCAACACTCTCAACTATACATAAACGGGCAAGCACTGTCTTGACAGTTGTTTTAACGAACGTGGTTTTTCCTGCAGTACTTGGCCCAGTCATCAACACCACCCCTCTGGCCATACAGAAGAGATGGAACAAAATGACTTGATAGAAGGAGCTGCTTTCGGGCAGCAGCAATGCGAATCGCAGCAATATATGCCGCCGGGCTTGAACCCAAAGGTAGAAGCCTGGCAGCTTGAGCTTTACTATTTGCTGGAGTCGATAGAGGCTTGCCAGCAGCAGTTAGTTCTTCTCTCAGGAGCACACTTTGCAGCAGGGGCAGCCGCTTCCGTTCCAGTTGGGGATGCAATTGCAACAGGCCCTGATGCTTTGCCCGCCATGGGAGAATCCAGAACACAGGAGTTAACACTCGACTGTATCGCGCTATTGTCTACAGACACAGCCACTCCGGCAGAGCGTAAACAGGCAGAAATGTCTTTGATGCAGCTTCAAGGCTCCCCAGGGTACCTCATTCTGCTGCTACAGTGTTACCTGCGGTGCACAGCCACTTCAGTGGCAGCAGCAGCAGTTGCAGCTAAGGGAGCAGAAGCGGCATCAGACCGATTGGTACAACTGGTTGGGAAACTGCCGAGGCCGACCGCAGATGACACGGAAGCTGCCTTTGCTGCACTTGTGCTGCTCAAGGGAGCATTACAAGGCCGTCACACAGTAAGATGCAGGAGTAGGATCATCCCTGGCAATATTAGCGAACGCGTCAACCTTCAGAACGAACACTAGCTTTAGGGGCGCAGAAGGAGAATGAAAAAAAAGGAGCAGCAGTGGCGCCTCCAGATGCGAGAAAAGCGGAAGCATGTTGCGAACTACAGGTTGCTTTCCCACAGTTGTTGTGTTTGGAATGTTGTGACTACATCTTCTTTCATGGCCACACATGCACTAGCATGTACCTGCGCAAACTTCCAGTTGCTGTCTTCTGTTTGTTGTGGAGATATTCCAGGAACGGAGCTCTAATGCTGTCCCCAATGTTCGGCGAGGAGAGTTGGCGTTTGTACAGTCGCTCCTGGTATGCCTGTACAAGTTGCTGGGCGTCCCTCAGTGCCCTCGTATCTTCAAAGTATATACGGCCCTCCTGCGGCGTGTTGCGCGGGCAGCGGCTACAGCGGCAGCAACAGCGGCAATAGTAGACAAACTGGAGCAGATGCTGTCGGAGCAGTCTGTGCAGCAGACGTTGAATAGTTACTGCAACTACAGCTCTTCCTGGGGAGGCGTATTGCCGCTCAGCTGCGGGGCCCAATCCCTTCAACAAATGGTGCAGGAGGTAGCAGCATTGGATGGAGCAGTGCTACTGCTGCTGCTAGAGACTACGGTTTTAAGACTCCTGAGGGCAGCCCAGCGAAATGACGCTGACACTGCACTGTATGCGCATCTTCTCAAGCATCTGCTCAAGGTGAATGGCAGTGGTGCAGCGGTTCATCTGTGGATGTTTGGCTTCGTGCGGCTATCTGTGCCTGTATTTCCCCGCATTGCTGTCTGTGTGCTTGCTATCGCACTTCTGCGTGCGTTGGCTCCCCCTGTGCTTGCGTTCTTCCCTGGCTCTTTTTTCGCCCCCGTGTGGCACTGCTTGCCCAATCCCACTAAGTCCGCTGCGTGCAGCCGATTTGTGTTCCGGATCCTTTATCTACTTCAGGAGCGCTCATTCCTCTTTGTTGAGGCGTTCGCTGCTGCCGCAGGAGCTGGTAACGGTGAAGATAAGCACTAGGCAGTTGTTCTCCACCGTCTGCAAGGTCCTAGTACCTTTTCTGCGCCAGCTCGCAGCTGCTTTTGTGGGTCGTCTTCTGCCGTTCCTGAGCGCGCACCTTCAGCTATTAGGGGAATGGCAGCAGCTGCAGCTGCGACTCAACAAACATTTGGGATATATTCATGGAGGAGCCTCGCAGCAACAGCAGGATCAGCAGCAAGAGCTCCAGTGGCTGCAGGGGCAAGTGGAACGCATGCAGCGTGAGACCTTCTCTCATAGCGATTGCTGGAAAGATTTAGCGAAGGTGAGATTAATGTTGAGATTTATTAAGTGGAGGGACTGGTGGTTGCTCTATCTTTGAATGTGTCTGTAGGTTTATTTTGGTACTGCTTGTGCTGCTTCTGCCGTAGCTGGTAGCCGATATTTCCAGAGCCTTGCTGCTATGTGAAGCCAGAGCTGGCAGAGCTTTATGTGGAGTGGGAGATGTGGGAGCGGTGCAAAAGCTGCAAGAGCTACTGCTGCTGCTGTTGCTGCAACAGCAGCAAGCGGGAAGCTGCATCGCATACACGGATGCCTCCGCAAGAATTGTGCTCAAGCTGCAAAAGGTGCTGCTTAGAGGTAAGAAGTATCATCAGCAACAGTTGAGGCCCTAGAGATCAAAGACGCCCCTGGAGCATGGCCCGCCGACGCTGTTCTGCTGCTGCGGTATAGCATGCTAGCGCCATCGTTTTATCGAGTTGCGTGGTGCTTAGCCAACTGGTGCATCAATTCTGTGCTGCTGCTGCCTCAGGCTTCGCTGAGCTGGCGGACTGTCAGCCCTGGGTGTTGGCGAAAATGAGCAGCGGGTCTGTTTTGAAGCTGCTACTAGCCGCCGTCGAGCACAATAAGGTTTGCTGTTTCGGCTGCCATCGCTGCTCCGGTTGCTTCCCGCGTTGCTTTTCTTTATGCTGCTTTGGCGGCTGGACGCCGCCGGCTTTACCGTTGGATCAGGTCTGCTGGCACAGTTTTCCGCTCTGTAGGTGTTACTATCGTTGTGTTTCTCCGCTCATGCTGCAGCTCATCACACACCGCGGCAACGGAGATCAAAACTCCGACCCACTCCTGCTTTTTCTTGATTTCGAATTGATAATGAATGTAGTAGGGGGATACACAGCCTTTCTGCTTGACAGCAACTCTGGGCATTCGGAATTGAAGGGTCTAAGAAGCGACTCGGCCGCTCCTGAAGCATTCACGGCACAGGAGGAGCGGAGTGCTTTAATGACCAGAATGTCTGAGGATCTTCGGAGCTTTCTCTCATCAGTTGGGGGGCTACAAAGCCTCATACAAGACATCGCTCCTGCTTTCTTCAGGGCAAGCGACGTTGAGGTGCGCGAGAACACGACTGCTCTTGTTGTTTTCCGAATATGCGGAGATATCTTCGATGTGCGTGCTGCTCCCGGTACTGGAAATTGGTTTTCCTGTTGTTTGTGGTTCTATAAAGTGCAGAAGATAGTCCTGCCTGTGCGAACTTCTCGTTACAGCAATGAATCAGTAGCGCAAACGAAACCAGCCGTACTATTCTGTGGGATGGCTTGTCAGTTCTCCCCTAACCTGAGCTTCTTACTGCTTTTATAGTGGGCGTCAGAGCTGCTTGCGCTGCGTTTTGTCAAACGGTCGTCAAGTCGTCTCCGTGCAGTGTTTTGCTTCGATAGGTGCTCAGATATTTGTCTCTGTGTGGCGCTTTCTTCACCTCTCGTACTGTCCTCCACAATATGCCATTACTTTGCTTGGTGCAGGCTCAGGAGTTTCTGTCGCGACCGGAGGAGCTATACGGGGGACTTGGATGCGTTGAGGAGGGGTCGACGCCCATGCGCGATACTGCGGTTGAGCGGCTTCATGGGTTGCTGAGTCAGGGCTTGCTGAGCTCAACATTCGTGCTACGCCTCATTGTTGATGCAAACAACGCCTTAGAAAGGTTGACAGTTTTGCCTGCACCTGGAGCGGCTGTGACAGACCCAGCAACAGCTGCTGCTGGTGGCAGCCTAGCAGCAAGTGCGAATTACCTAGCTCAGCTTAAAGAAGCTGACGGCGTGTTAGCCCTCTTAGCAGCGTCGCTTCAAGGAGCATCTCGTGCAGGTATATTCGAGCCTGATGAGCAACAACAGCACGAGGACCTTGGAGAGCAACAACAACATCGGCATAAGGTGGTTGTTCAGATTCTAGGGACTGAGGCCCCTATTCCATGCACGTCTCCATCTACACAGCAGCAGCTGCAACAGATATTGCAGCAATTCAGCCACATGTCGAGTCTGTTGAGGCGGTTCATCACCACTGGTCCGTTTGCTCCTGCGGTGGCAGCAGCAGCAGCAAGCAAGGATCAGGAGACATCAGCGGCTTTCGCCATCGTTGCTGCGCGCTGCTGCTCCGTCCTGAAGTTGCTATTGCAAATGCATTCTGCAATGCTTCCAGCCGACTTCTGCGAAGTATTCTTCGCCCTTGTAGAAGATTTGCTTGTCCCGCAGCCCCTTATAAAGGTGTTGGTGGGCAGGCACATTGCCTTGAGGCAACAACAGCAAGTGCTGCTTTTGCAGCAGCAGCAGCAGCAGCAGGAGCTGCAGCAGCACCAGAAGCCACATGAGATGCAACAGCTGCAGTTTAGGTTGCAGGAGCTAGAGACTCTGGTAGAGGCCGCTCTCACAGCGCCGCTTTTCCAAGCTGTAACGAATTGTGTGCAAGTGGGGGCATTGAGCGTTGCCAGGACAATGATCAATAGCAGCATTGAGCAGCAAGACCTGAGGCAGCCAAGCCAGCAGCAGCAACTGCAGCACGAGCTGTTGAAATTGCCATTCAGGGAAATCCAGAGGCCTTTCTTGCTACTTCTGGCCCAGGTCGGGCAAGCTGCCCAATGCTGCTCTTGTTTGCTGCTGCCACTTCTAGAAACTTTGATCCCCTTCGGCATCACTGGTGCTGATGCCTTGCTGCCAGAAACGGCGTGAGATGCAGCTTCTAAAGGAAAGTTTAGGCTAGCAGATGTGCGTGGTCTTTGCTTGCGTTTTTTCCAGAGCAATCGCAGCCTTTGGAGCAGTAGGTTGCTGAAGATTCTGCTTCTGATGCAGTCAGAGGCCCGCGAAGAGCTGCAGAAGAAGCCTTTGCAGGACGATTTTTTCGATTTCTCAGATCTGCCGAACTACAGTGATGTGGCCTATTTGCGGCGCATCATTATGCACAGCTGCAGCAACGGCACCACCGGTGGGGGCGAGTTCCGGTGCTCACAGGTGTATGATCAGCTTCTGAGCCATTTCAAGGCCTACAGCAACGATGAGGCATTGCAGGTGCTGCTTCTGACCTTCTTGCATGGAGCGATGCTAATAGGGAGGCCAGAAGTGCCTCTACGCTTCCCAGCAGGGACGCCTGCTGCGCCTGCATTGCCAATGGGACTGCTCACTGCCGCCCTTCAGGTGCTGTTTGCTACTTCTTTCGTGTTTGCTGCTACTGCTAGTTGGCCTGTGTAGAAGCTCTTACTTATGCCGGTTCTCACTTACGGGTTGCCACCCTTGCTTTTGGTTGTGACAAGAAATGCTCTTTGTTGCTGCGGCTTAGAGTTCCAGGGGCTTATACTTGAATTGGTTTTTCATTTCTCTGTTTAGTAGCTTTATTACTACAAGTTATGCATTTGTCGAGCTGACAGCGCAGCCCATAAGCCTCAGGGCTTGGCGTAGTTTGCGGATTTGCTGTAGGCTGCTGGATGGGCAATGGGAGCAGGTGCCAAATCGGATGGTAGGGGAAATACAGCTGTACTGTCGTCGATTTCCATATCCTCCGCCGTCTTTTAATTTTTAAAATCGGTTTTTGTCGGCAGCTATATTTCTGCCCTCATTGTACTTAATAATCACTTCCTTTTCCCTTTGTATATCTCCTTTGTTTTGTCCTGGGGATGCTGGCTTACCGGTTCTTTTGGGAAGCGCTTGTACGGTTCTTCTTCTTTGCTTCTAGCACCTCTTTAAACTGGGTGTGTTTTTGTTCCCCGAATTTTCAGCAGCCCTTGCCCTTGGTCGCGTTGTCACCACAGCTTGTCTCTTTCCTCACGTCTGCATTTTCCTCGTTCCATGCATGGGTCTCTTTGTGCTCTCTCTTTGCCACCATAGCCTCGTGGAAGGATTGCGGTGCTTTCTCCTGTACAGTCTACTTACTACTATGGGCTTGCTGAGTGCTTTCTATTGCACAGCCTACTTACTACTCTATGTCTGTTTCAGGAATAATCCGGTTTACGCAGCTTTCTTTTCCAGTCACAGTGTGTATCTTTCTCCACCTCCGTATGCATGCTGAACCTCCCAGACCTTTTTTGTTGGCTGTTTGTGCTCTGCAGTGCCCGCTGAGCCATCAGGAGCATTGCAGCGTTGCGGCCTCCGCCTGTTTGCCGGAATTATCAGAGCGGCTGACCCTCTTCGCCATCCTCAGGAGGAGGTAGCCTTTCCAATGTTGTAGCCTGAGTGCTTGAGTCGGTAGATTAACGTGTTTAGTCAGTCTAGTTGCTATTTCTGTGTGTGGGCCACATCTTAGTGCCCAGGCGCATGATGCTCTCTGGGCGTAGTCCTAGAATATAGAGGAAGACAGGAGCAGAAGGAAACACGCCTTTGAGGGCCACTAACGGGCACATCTTTATAAAAGTTACAAACCAGCCGTAGCTTATTTCGTTCCTGTTGTCGTGCTTGCTGCTTCAGTTGACGCTGTTGTTGCAAGTGCTACCAGCGGTCGCCGACATGCGCCTGACGGTGGCGGAGGCACAGCAACCTCTCCTGTTGCTGTGCCTGCTAGAAGCCACAGCTCTCTGTATTGTAGTGGGTGCTTCCCCAGTAATATCTTCGCAAGTGCGGCAGATGGCGAGCCCGCTGTTACCGTTGGTGTATAATTCTGTGGAGACCAGAATGGCTCAGGTAAAGTGGCGACTGCCATGCAGCCACTGCTTAAGCAGCTGCTGCCTGTTCTCGCGAATTGGCCACCGCTAGCTGATGTATTCAGGTTGTTGCAAGTGTATTGCTGCTGATGGCTCTGGTGGCGGCATTTATGTAGCTGTAGCATGGCCAAAATTCTTGCAAGCTTGTGCTCCTGTGCAGCTGACCAGGCGTGCGTGCGTCTGTGTTTCCATGTTGGCTGCTTCTTCATAATCGCTGCTGATTGTTGCAGCTGCTGTGTGCGCTGCTGCTGCTCAGAGCTCTTGTCTAAGCAAAGTCGTGCAACAACAGTTAAGGGCATGCGCGTTGCTGATTTTACTGTTGCTGCTGCTGGACCGTGGAGACTGGCCAGCCCTGGAGAAGCTGCTACAAGAGGCTTTGGCAGAAACAGCTATCCGTGCATCGGTAACTGTCGACGGAGATGGGAGACAGGAGGTCTGTGGGAGTCTTCCTGTGCTTTGTTGCTGGGGCTTGCGGCACCCTCTGAAATTTGTCGCTGCTGCCGCAGGTGCTCTTGCTTCCACAGCAGCAGACGTGCGGCAGGAGTTTATGGGACCGTTTATGTTTGCTCCGCAAGATGTGCAAGTTAGCGAACTGCTTCTCAGGTTTGCTGCGGAGATGCTGGCCACAAAGCGGTGAGTGAAAGTATCTCAGTCTTGCGTTGTTCCTTTGTGCCCAGCCTTGTTCTTTCTCTACATTCGCCTTAGGCTCTATTGCGTGCCCGTGGTGGTACTTGTCTACATCAGTGCTCGAACCCTTAGACAAGCTCTCCGCCAGGCTTTTGGTCTTTTTTACCTTGGATATTCGTTTTGTCCATTGCCCTTCATCTAATTTGCTTTCGTGACCGCTGGGAGTGTCTCTTTCGATCCTTTCAGATTACCAACACCTGTATCGATGCCTTTTTAGCCATTGGCCTGGTCGATGAGATGTTTCTGCCTGTCCGCTGATGGCGTCTTACTGTTTCAGTGTGCTTCGTAGGTCCACCAGTCTCAACCGTCCTTTGTTTGAGTTCATTTGTCTGTTTTTTGTGTGTCTGTGTTCTTTTGCAGGGCCGCATATTTCCGCTTGCTGGCTATTTCTTTTGCGACTCTTTCTTTGCATATCATTTCGAGAGCCTTGTCAATAGTCCCATCTTATGCTCCTGCGGGCAGCAGCAGCGACTGCACACTCGAGCTACTTCAGCAGATAGCGGCATTGCACATGGAACGGTGTGCTGCTACCCTTGAATCTGCTGTGCAGCTCATCACACATGCTGTAGCAGCTTCCAACGGCAGCAAAGGCACAGCTGAAATTCGCGCTCAATCAGGTGGAACCGAGGGAATTTCTACGGGGCCTTCGGACCTTTTGGTGTCGTCTTACTTGGAGAGGCAACTACTGTCTTTAAGTGGTGAAGCCGCTTCGGGTGCTGCTGCTGCTGCTGCTGCTTTGCAGCAGCCTGCATGCCCTCCTGGAGAGCTGCGGCGTTGTCTCGCTTTGCTGCACATCAGCCTTAGTGGGGCCTCCCTAGAAAGAGAAGACTGGAAAGACGGCCTAGCCGGTACGTACACGCTGGCGCTTTGTAGGATTTCGTTGCTCAGGCTTCAATTATTGTTTGCCCTGAGTAGAGGTATGCGTCCTGCGCGAAAGAAGACGCGTTACTCACTTGCTCCATGCTCCGCTGTGTCTTGTTTTTTTGCAGAGCTGCTTGCCGACGCCCTTCACACGGCGAAAAATTGTCTTTTCGCGCTGCGATGCATCGCTTCGGGCGCTGCCTTTGTTTACCCTGGTGGCCCGCCTCTGCTGAGTTGCATCTTAGAAGGGCCCCCGACGAAGGCATCATTAGGGCTCCCCACCCAGGATTCAGTTACGGCCTGGAGAAGCCTTCTTAGCGCTGAGAGGCAGAGCTTCCTTGAAGCACAGCTCAGGGGCATCACGCTGCTGTAGAGCTAGGTGCAGCAGTAGAGGACTAGTGCAACCCCTCGCGTTTGTATCGCCGACTCAATCGGGGGCTGCATCATTTGGTGTCTCTAGCTTTGAATATGCATAGAGTCAAAATACGTGGGTTAAGGGTACCCGCCGCTCCTGCTGATTTTAGAGGCGATTCTATCCAAAGTATACACGTTATTTTGTGCAGAGGAACGAGCGTTGTCGAGATCCACTAAGATGAACAGCGTCCATCCGTAAGCATTGTATGGCTGGAGGGAAAACTAACGGGCTCGCGGGATTCGCTATGCACATATATGTCACGTTCAGCAAATAGCTGAGCGGTGCTTTTTATACGGCTTTCCACTGGCGTTGCTAGTGATCCTCGGATCCGTAGCCCTGGAGATGTGAGCTCTCTGGCCTGAATTCAGGGTGCATGAAGATTTGGGACTGCGGTGTAGCTGTGAGGGCCCAATGAAGTAAATATAACAACTGAGCTTCAAGCAGAGAGAACACGAGACGTATCGACGACGCGACATGCTTGTTAGCACTGTTGGCCCGTTGCAGTTGACCCTGCTGCGCGCAGCGCGCTACACAATACTCGGACAGGCACATCACTTGGACTGCAGCCACTGAGGAACTCACGGGCAGGGAGCTAGTTAGCCTTTCTGCTGAGCTGTACGCGTGCTCGGAATTCCCATCGATTGTACGCGCTGTCTGAGCAGACCCATGGTACTTTACAGCGCTATCCATGGTGCATGCAAGACTCACACTGCAGGGCAGAATGCAGCCGATAACTTTTAGGCTTTGTTGATGCCTGTCGTGAAAACACCGTGGCTGTAGACCCTGTTGCAACGGCGGGCAACCGGGGCACTACAGACTAGCGAAGAGTTGCCCACTGAATGGCTGGATTTTGTGGAAATGCAAAATTAACAGTATTAGAAAAGCAAAAGAAGGCAAAATGCAGTTAAAGGGGAAATGCCAGTAAGGAACAGCTTCATGCAGTACTGCAAGACACACATGTGAGAGCACCAGCAGCGTGAGCGGTGGTGATAGCATCTCGCTTAGGGGCAACGCCTCTTTTCAATAGAAATTTTGAACTAAAAGTGCACATCTACGGGGAGTGGCACAGAAAACGTTTTCTTAATCCCCCTCTTCGGCTTGTACTGTCAAGGGGCCCCAAACGCGCAACTGAGGTTTCACATGGCCAGGGGCCCTTCCTGCCGCCTCCGCCAAAAGCAGCACAACAAAGATGCGTTAATGCTGGCTCCATCTAATCTGCAGATGATCTCTTCCGCTTGCAGCTGTACCAGGACCGCAGGCGCCAGCTACAGCAGGAACAGCAGCAGCAGCTGTTGCTGCTGAAGCCCTGCATACATGGAGATCCCTATATGTTCCATTTGTAGTGGTGCCACTAGCGTCTCATAGTGCCTCATGTAGCAGTGGCAGTGGCTTCTGGCGCGGAGGCATCTGTCTGTTTCGTAGACTTCTGGCTGTAGCTCTGCGTAGCATCAATGCCACAGCAGCGACTGCAGCACCAAGCAACAGCATCAGCATATGCAGAAGATGCAGGCTGGCTGTTTGGCTTCCACGCCACTTAGCTGCTCCGACTCACGTACTGTTGCTGCATCATCGACCGCAGCAAATATAACAGCGGTTGATGGCAATACGACTTGTATCACTCCTACAAGAGAAGCAGCGGCAACGGGTGAAAGAGCAGCGCCAAGTCCATTCCCCATGGGTAGAACAGCATCAGACACTCCCTCAGCACCAGCAACACCCGAAGTAACAATTAAGGCTGCTGGCTTGCCTGCAGCAGCTGCGGAGGATGCTGCAATGACAACTCCTGAAGACGCGCCCAGTGTTCAGCGTGGAGAATTGAGTATAGCAGCACCGGCAGGTACAGATGCAGAAAAAGCTGCTGAAGAAGCAGTAATAGCTGAGGCAGTCAATGATGCAGTCAGTGGGGCAAAAGTGGATGATGCAATCGGCCTGTACATGGAGGACCCCAGTAATTTTTCTCCAGTCGCGTCTAAAAGAAATCCCACAGATTCACCCGTATCTTGCCCACTCCCCCTAAGCGCGGCAGCAATAGGCGGCCCGTGGGCCCCCTCAGCAAGCATTAAGGTGTGGCATTCTCCTTCCTTGTCCCCAGGAGATAACCGAACAAAGTCTCCTGAGGACTCACCAGGGGCCCCACCAGAAGAGGCCTCAGTGACACCGCCTAGAGGGTCTCCTGCTAAACCCTTCGAAGAAACCTGCTTGGGGCACCTTTCGGAGATCCCGGAGGACTCATCTGAAAGGTGCTCTTTGGAGGCTGAGGCGGCGTGCAGGATCCACCCCAATACCCCTTCAAAGAACCCCCCCAAAAAGGCTCCCGGGGACTCTTCGGAGAAGGCTGTTACGGGTGGCTGTGAGTCCAGTGGGTTGGGCGACTCTTTTGGAGCAGTTACTAATGCATTTTTGGAATGGTGCAGCTGGGGAGACTCAGCTGAATTTCGAGGGGTTCCTGGGGGCCGCGGCGACGGCTGGGGCACCAGAAAACAAATTTTTGAGGGGCTTGTGGAAAGATGTCAGAGACAGCAGCTGGAACTACAGGGGCAGCTACGGCAGCAGCTACAGAAGCAGCAGAAGCAGTCGAAACGCGAAGCGGAACAACGGGAGAAGCCTCAGCAGCAGCAACGAAGGGCATCAGATTTGCCGAGAAGACAAATGACACAGCAGCAAGATGTGCCGTTGTTGCAACCGATCGATGCGACAGTCAACAAGCAGCAGCAGCAGCAGCATGGTGAAAAACAGCCTCCAAAGAAGGTTAATGAGGAGAAGCAGCCGCACGTGCAACAGGGCGAAGACCAGCGGCAACAACGGCGACGGTCCTACCAACAATTTTCTCGCCGTATTCGTTGCATGCCTTCCCTTGTTGAGGCTTTTCTGATTCTCGGGCCTTCAACAGCTAGGCCTGTCTTGGATTGCTGCGTCGGCGATTACTGCGAGCAGCAGCAGCAGAAGCTCTGCAGCTGCTGCTGCGAGGCTAACACCTTTCGGCAATCCAGAGATATGGCGTGTACTGCCGCTGCGGCCGCTGTTCCTGCTGCTGGAGAGGAGTCGGAGGCTTCTACTCCCCAGGAGCCTCTGCCAGACAAACAGCAGCAGGAGGAAGAAATAAACCCAGCAGAAAACACGAATGAAGGTACACCGCTAAGCAGCAGTGGTAGAAGCAGCAGCTACGGCAGCACCGATGATCTGCTGCAGCCTCGCGTCTGGTGGTGCTGCACTGGCAAGAACGTCCCCTGCCTGTTTCCCAAAGGCATTGTTCCTCCGAGGAGCAACAGTTGTGGCAGCAAAAAGAGCATTGACAGTAATACGAGCAGAAGTAATAGCAGCTGCTGTTACTCTAGCTCTGTCTGCAGCTCGAGTAGAGTGCACAGCTGTGGCTCCAGCAGAGTCCACAGTTTGTGCAGCGTTTCGCAAGGGTGCGCATGGGCTCCCGCTGCTGCTGCCGCAGAGTGCAGCAGCAGCAGTAACGCAGCATTGACACAACAGGCTATAGGGAGCAGTAGCACGTGCGGAAAAAGTAGTAACAGCAGCAGCAGCAGAAGCAGCAGTTACTGCTGTCGCAGCTGCAGCAGAAAGCAGGCAGATTCCTGCAGCAGAAGCGCAAGCAGAGGCAGTAGCAACCACAAAGGGGAGATGCATGCTGCGCGCATCGATGCAGTAAGTGCGGAAGGAGAATCAAAGGTCTGTTGTTCACATTTAAGGACAACAACGATGCAGCGAAGGAGCTGCAGGTGCAGCAGCTGCTTTAGCGGCTGCAGCAGCAAGCGTAGCATCAGCGACACACATCTTTGCTGCAGTAAGGAGCTGACAAGACGCCGCAGCACAAGTTGGCCTGAGGCTGGAAGCGAGACCCTCACGGCTACCAGAGGAGCAGATGCTGGTGATATTACGACATCTGAAACAAAACCAGCAGCAGGTGCAACAGCGAACATCAAGACAGCAACCGGCGCAGCAGATGCACCAGCAGTTGCAGCAGCAGCTGAAGAGAGTCCGGAGGCTGAGCGTAGGTCAAAGCATCACTCGTCTGCTATTGTCTGTTGCAGAGTCCGCAGCGTCGACTCCTGCAACAGGAGCAACAGCAACTGGGGAAGCAGCATCTATTACAAGGGGAGCTCAAGGAACATTCAGGGCTGCTGCAGCTGTAGTTACATCCCGAGCTTCGATGTAGCCGTCACACGCAAGGGCAAGCCCAAGATCGTAATTGTGCAAGAGATGGCGGCGAAGAGAGTACAAGCACCAAGGGAATCGCCAAAGGCAGAAAGTGCAGAAGAGCCCGCAACAGCATGGGCTGGAGCATGTACACCAGAAGAGGGAGGCTCTGACGCTTCGTGGCTGCCACCGGAGGTCCCCCCCGCAGCAGAACTATTCTGTTTCCCTAAGGGTGCAGCGCAAGTGCTCCCTCTCAGCAGTGGCTGTCTCTGCACCCTGCTGACGCCGCAGCAACAACGACTGGATGCTGCAGCACCGCTGTGCAGATCTCCTTGGCATTCATACTATCCGGATGCCTTGCAGGAGCTGCTGAGCTCACCAGTACAAGCGGCACCAACAGCAACCGCAATGGCCCCAGAGACAATGCTTGCAGTATCACAAACTGAGGTCCCGCATACAGCAGGAACAGCGCCATCAGCGACAACCACAACAGCGGGAACAGCACCTGCAGGCAATCCAAGATGCATGTGCGACTGGGGTGGGTGCCCCTGCGCATCTCTGTTGCGAGTGCATTCTCCGTCGTCTTCTGTTTTCGTCTTGACGGACTTTCAGGGCCGTCGTTTGTATGGACACTGCCTCCGTTTTTTCGAACTCGTAGCTATGGAGGTGCCTAACAACAACAGCTGCAGTCCCGTCAATGAGTGCAGCAAACGCACCGCTGCAGCACATGCAGAGGCTCCTGCTGAAAATGCAAGGAAGCCAGCAGTTGAAGCGCAGCAAGAAGTAGAAAAGGCGGAGGGGGAAGAATCAACTGC